TTTTTTTATTTTATATTCATTTAATTTTTCACTTGTAATTTTACTATTATATAACTTATAATATAATGTTTTAGTCGTTAAATATTTTTTATAATTTTAGTAGAAAAAAATTACGTGAAAAGTCTGCTTTTAATCTAAGTTATATCCTTTTTCTACGAGCGCTTTTAGGAATACTAAACATTCTCAATCTTTATAACTTCAGAAAATTACAGTTTAATTCATTTGTACGTTAACGTTGGACTTTCTTTAAACCGGTGTCATAATTTGTACTAACAAAGCAATTTTATAAAGAATGATCGTTCATCTATTGACATGAAAATCATAATTTTCAAGCCTTGAGCATTGGCTTGTTGAAAAGAAAGTTTTCCTTAACGTTTTCCTAACCTTCATGATAAGTATTAGCTAAGTGAAAATATTGTGAGTAAACCTCATTTATAGTACAGATAATTATTTCTTTGTATTCGATAAAATAGTGCATTATTTAAAAAGTTTGCTTTTGGTTTCAAATAATGTATATAGTGGATGTTTTACACGCGGAAGTAAACAAAAACTTTCGATAACCAAGGCATGTGATAACCCCTAGTAACTCTTTTATCTTGACACCTTTTCTTGTTATCTATAAGAAGTCTCATAAATTATAATTTTAGACAAGAGATGTTAGCTAACGTTAAAATATTACAAATACTGGACTCAAAATAAACAGCGAGGACCTAAGTGACTTGAGTTTTCGTTTCGCAGTCAATCTTTTTTTTATTCTCAAAATGTCTAAAGAAATTAGAGCAAATGTCGGATGAAAGTACGAAATATACGTATCAAGTTATGTTAACTTATTATCTACTTTATTATGTTATTAAAAGTAGATGATTTTTCAATATTTATTTCAATCACAAAATATACCAAATTTGTTATTATAAGAGTTCCAATCCTCAATTCCGAGGGTTGGTATAATATGCACTCAATTAAAGACTGCGGAATAAATACACATTTTTTTAAACAGTGAGAGCCAGTTATATATCAAATAAAAATTGGCGAATTTAATTACATAGAAACGAATACCGTCGTCAAAGCGAGTTGCTTAAAATTGTATTAGTAGTTTGGCACCAAAGTTAAAAGTCCTTAGAGCGGACAATATTTACATTGTTATTAAGGAAAGGATTGCTCTATTTCGAAAAAATCACATTGTTGCCAATAATATTTGATTGTAAAATTTTCCGGTATGTTCAGTTGCTTCTCTTGAGCCACAAGACGCACAACACGGTTTATGGAAAGTTCTATGCAGTTTCGAACGTTCGACTTCACGGCTTTTCCAAAACAGCGATTGTTAATGGCTGTAAGACAAAGTTAGGTCTTTGTTTGAGTAATACGATTACCTTTAACATATAACATACAAAAAGTATGGTTGTATGTTTAGTATCTACTTGTCCATCAATGATACTATCGGTCACATGAGCTCACAGCTTCTGAATAAAGACATCGTCCTCATTAACATGTAAATAGTGTATGCGTGATGCTGTAATCACTGCTAATTATTTTAAATATTATTTACATGGTGTCCCTTTAATCTTTATGAAAATTCGATTTACAAAGAACATGTAGTTTAAAACACTTTAACGGTTTAAAACGCGATATATTAGTTAAACGGGGAGTCTCCCCGTGACCACGCCTGCGGCAAAGCATCCGAAACGTCGGGCCGAAGTTAAAAATCATTTTCAAATAAGTTTAATTAATATATCGCGTTTTAAACCAGTAAAGTGTTTTATTTAAATGTGAACTACTCGCGTAAACTATAGACAGTATTTAACATGTAGTTTTTTGATAAGCTGCCAGTTCCTTGCTGAATACAATAGAATTATTCCTTGAATTATGTATACGAAGCGATTTAGTCAACTTAGTTACTAAAACTTAACCATTAGAAGTTATTACGCGCCCATTACCAAGATCGACGTTATTAGTTTGGCTTGCCAAGGACTCTGTTGATAATGGCATGTCAAGAACTAACAACTTCACATATAACTTAAAAAAACTTTTGATATTTGTGTTTGAATCATAAGTCATGATCGCAAGCCCTATAAACCACTATAATATTTGTCCCAATTGTCCAGATATTGTTATTTTAATTTATTCGAAGAAGACAAAACACAAATCAAGAATATCTCGTGCCTAGTCCTTTGAAAAATAATGTCATTTGTTTAATGGTCTTACAATGTCGTATTGCAGAGACTGAATATGGCAATAAGTATTGTAAGTTTATTACCCAATAAAACATAAGCCATATAAATTAAATATTATATATCTTACATAGTAATTATTGAAATGAGGAAAACTACGAATTATTAATTATTATGTCACCCTTCCTGTTTGTAAGTATACATGACAGACGAATTCCATATTTCTTTCGAGTGAGAACGAATATGAGTTAGTTATGACTAATTTGCGAACGTTACTTATTAGTAAAATGATCAGTTAGTGTTGAACTTGCAAAACAGAAGGTTAAAGAAATAATGTAATGTAGTTGTGCCGTTTGCTGATTTTAAATTTCGAACACTTATTGTAAACGATTGTAGGGTATTTCAATACGTACTAGTGTAAATTTCTTGGTAACTCAATTTAACGTAGCTACAAGTTAATTAAACGAATCACATTCGTTAAATTTTAAGTTCTTTTATTTCAAACCGAGTTGATAGTAAAAAAAATAATATTTAGATTTAAACATATATTAATATTATTAGCAAGTAAAGATTTCCATCAAATTCCTATGATAATATGACGTCACTAAATGTACGTCTTTATCCGTGGCCATTGTAATGTTTATTTTATTACAGTATAAATTTTACCAAAAACTCGATAAAATATTGAGTTAAGAACTCCTTTCTTTTCTTCCAATAAGACCTTTTACATATCCTGATGCTTTTTGTTAACTAGTAAAACATTTTCTTTGATATATGAAGTGTTGTTGCTTAAAATAAATAAAATGCCATGTGGAGATTGTTGTCCAAGGGAGATTAAGGACTCAAAAGTATGTCTGTGCTGTACTTACCATTTGGATTTGATATTGTACGGAGTGTTAACGTTTATTGTTTTGTCCATATTTATATACGTCATGTATTTTTCTTAACACATCCGAGCAGGTGAGTGTAATTGAAATGTATTAGTTTACAATGAATGTATGTTCCACCCGTGGCTGTTTTTTCATTATACAAATATTTATATATACTTTTTAAAGTAGAGGACATATAAGCATAAACGAGATGCACTGTCAACGTATTTTATACCTTGAATATTTGGAAATCCACAGATTGAAACCGAACGTCGATTAAACTTCATGGACTTTTCATCTGAGTTCTCTCTCTCGTAACTCGGACGGAATTACGATGTTCCTAGTTCCTACCACACATTTAACATTCAGATTTCTAGACTCAAACGTGTTTCAGAAAAAATATAAATTTAAATAAAACACTTCAACGGTTTAAAACGCGAAATATATTAATTATACTTATTTAAAAAATATTTTAACTACGGCCCGACGTTTTGACGTTAAATAAGTTTCACTTATATATTTCGCATTTTAAACCGTTAAAGTGTTTTATTTAAATGTGTAGTAGTCCCGTATTTTTATATTGAAATACAGACAGTATTTAAATTATAATTTCATTGGAAATATGTTGGACCCGCTGGGGAAAGAACCCACTACTCGTTGATCATACATTGCTACCATAACACCAAACGTCCCTTTTTTCAACTTCAAGTTCTATGGCTTATCTATACTTGTAACTTAGTCTATGGAGATTCACGTGCTTGAATAATACGCGCATAGCTTTATACATTATTATGCTATGAAATAGCACGGTCCATCTAAAAAATTGATTTAATCTATCGTTTCTTTTTGTCATTGTTAATAACTTTTCAGTGCTTGACTTAGTCAATCAAAGTGTTGTAAATGTTCGTGTAGAATAGTCATTTTAGGCATCCAAATTTTGTGTTTGCAAACTCCTCTTCATCTTTATACATTTAAGCTGTTACCCACGACATCGGTCATGTCGTCGTTCGGGTCCCGTCGTTCTTAATATTATAAGATAGACATATATGTCTATACTAAAAAGTAAATGATCTAAAAAGGAATCATTCTTTCATACATATTTGTGTCGCTTATGTAGTTTTCGCAGCGTACGCATGCGAAACCCACAGAGATTAGTAAATTCCCCCGTTTTCCACTTTTCCCGCTATTTCTTTGCTGCTATTAATTACACAGCGTAATGTTATAGTGTATAGCCTACCTTGATAAATGTTCTAACCAATACAAAAATATTTTTTCATTTCAATCCAGTCCTTCCTGAGATAAGCGATTTCAAACAAACAAACTCATCAGCTTTATATATCAGTATAGATATAGATAGATACCGATATAGACGTTAAATTTCTTTAAAATTTGTGAAATCGTGTCGTCATACTCCCATAATTTGCTCTATGCGTTATTTCATTGATAACGTAATTCTTTTGTCCACAATGACGCCGGCATCTACGAAAACGTCTTAGCGTCTATGTGTTAAGAGATTAAGTTCTGCCTTATAATCTGATGGTAAACACTACTGGTAGTCCGTGCCCTTGTTCATCTTCATAGCTTAGTTTGGACACAAAAGTAGTTTGTCTCAAGGCTAACTGTTTTTATTTTAAACAGGATTACAAGTAGTTTATTAGACGATTTTGTTTAATTAATTATCTTCTCACCGTTAGGGATATAATAGAATACACAATTAAATAATACATTTTGTTAAGACAAAATGTATCTATTATTAGTTTTAATATGTTGTGGTCAAATATAATTCAAATAATAGATTTAAATATAATGGAGTTTGCAGTTGTCTATGGCAATAAATAAAATTTTACTAAAGCACAGTCCTATGCTATTCGCTCTATAGGATTCTTATCAAAATACCAGCCGGTACGTAAGCATAGAAAAAGATTTAACCCTCGCTATTTCTAATTTTCAGCAACTATGAATTATGGCCGAACGAGAAACAAATATCGAGCCTTATGAAGCCGTTGCAAAAGGTCTAAACTCACCTGAAATACGATCCAACACTAACATACCATTTGCGGACGAAGCTGTCGAACTGACCGATGTTAAAGAGGAACCGATTCGACCGAAACGCTCAAGAGATGTCGAAAAGGGCGACACCGATGACAATCCAAAGATCCACGCCTCCGATTTGGGAAATGTACACACGCCGAACAGAGATACAATAGTCGTGGATACTCCAGAAGGAACTCTATATATAACCCTCGATCCAGATTCGTCGAAATCCTCAAAACCTACTAGTCCCAGTACCCAGTCGACTGATCTTTCCAGTCCTAGTACATCAGCGTTTGGGGCGAAGGAGTCGCATGATATGATAACTTCAGAATCTGATATGGAGCAGAGGAAAAACAATTTAAGAAGGAATTCTATATCTATGCCGAACATAGAGTTGCTGCGACAAGAGTACCTTAACAACACACAGGGAAATGTGAGTATCATTTTGTTATTTTTGAACATCTTCAGAATTCTTATTTCTTCTCAAAAAAAATACAAATTTAAATCTTACCATCAGAAGTAGGAACATTGCTACATCGCTCAAACATACATGTTTACACAAATGTCTTTTTTTAAGATAAGCTTTCTATTTTTTTTTATATTTACTATCTCATGTAGAATATAAAATGCCATATAATATACATTCTGCAGGACGATAAAATTACAACGAGTGATTATTTTTTTATATGGAGTATTTGTAGTTCTTTGTAAGCCTACAATTTAATAGCAAAACAAGTACAACTCAGTTGCTCGCTATATGAAGGTGATAATTAAGTACTTATTAGGTTATTATGTAGTCACTATGTCGATATCTACGTGTACCCGAATACATTTCCGAATTCTGTCAATAATACTGTTGTCTTAATTTTATCAGCTCGAATGATAACAATTTCGATAAATAAAAGAAAATCGTTTCAGTGCTACAATATCGTCGGACTGTGAATTGCCGGTTTTTAATTATTAATAAATATATGAAATTAATTTTTGTGTCTAGTGCGACAGTGTTAAGGAAACTTCTAATTCGTCAAGATAATATTTAGGATGATCACGACTACGAGATAACGTTATCGAAATTAAACAAGCGACGTCATTACAAGTCAGGTGACTGCCAAATATGAGAGTTAGGAAGAAGGCTGATCTTCGGATCGATATCCCATCGTATCCCCATGATTATGTGGAAATGCCACCGGAGACTAAGCAGCTGATACATGAGGCCAATAGGACACCTAATGATATCCCTTATATAGATGAGACCTCGCCAAAGGTTCATTTTCAAGTGGGGAGTCCGGGTATCTCGGGACAGGAATATGTATTTCGAACTTCCACCCCAGAGGTGAAGATAAATACAAACGACAGAGATAGTGTTGAAAAAGATACTAGGTCTGAACAGAGTAGTCCGGTAGTACTCAGGAATACTTTGAGAAAGACTTCTACGTCTGTGCCCGCTGATTTGCAAGATTTTGAGTCGCGAATCGAAGCGAACACTAACGTAAGTTACAATAGGTTAGCACCTGTTTTTCGTTCACTTTTTATGAGAGGAATCAAGAGACAAGTAGGATCAAAAAATCATATTTAGAATTCTAGAAAGCCTATATTTTCTGCCTATTAATTATTTGAAACAGTTTTATTACTGATTATTTGTATAAAATTGAAATAAACTTTTTTATTTATTGAGAGTAGCGCCATCTATCGCAATTACATTGGCAAGTGGTATTATAGTCGATATTTGTACTGTCAATATAGGTGACATCAATTGTTATCTCACTATAATCTGCGACTTTAGACGCAAATAATATAAAATTAATCAAGCAGCTAATATTTGCCATTCATTGGCCTTAATCCTAAGAATGTCTTCAACTGATAACTTGTTGGACTTTCTATTTAATTTTCTTAGGAAGAAAATTGTGTACCTTTTTAAATTATTTTTTTGTAAAACTTGGAAATATATTTTAGTCTACAATGGTTTTTATTAGCAGTAGAGCATCACTTTGAGATGTTCCTGCGACACTGAATCTCAAATAGCGACTTATCCTAAATTGCTTCACATCCTGCTACGGAAAGATCAACCTGTGGCACATTGTAAGCGAATAATATTTTTAAACAAATACATTCACAGAATATATTGTAAACAAAATTATATGTACATATTTATAATTACAAAAATTAATGTATCAAGAAATGTATTATAATTTTTCATGACATGACAGTACTTAAACTACGGGTCGGTTAGGTTTTATTTATATAGGTACCTGTGTATGTCTATTCCACAATCAATTTAGTAAATAACATAGTTTTCTTTAGAATCGAGCAAATTCTTTGTTTCGATTTTTATGTCACTAAATCACTATCTATAGTATAATATATTAAGTTAGTAAATTTAGAATAAAGAGAACAGTATTAGGTACACTTAACCTGGTAACAACCCACATGAATGATTTTCGACTTCGACTACAGATGAAACTCAAGGTCACGGTTGAGCGTCCCTATAATCCTTACAATTACCTTTGTCCGTGATCTTACGCTTTCTGTTATACTATTCAAATTCACCTTACACCGCACCCACAAAGCGTACTAAACTATAAGACGAGAACACTAAAATCAGACAGAAAAGTGTAAACAGTGCATACTTTTGTGTAATAAACAATTGTAAAATTGCTTATTTACTTTACTATCCGTTTTATCGTGTTAAGAAGAAAAAAGACTTGCACTTAATTGATAGCGTTTTCTTTTGCTGAGTTAAAAATAATAGTAGAGCTTATTATAAGCATACAGACAATGCATAGTTTAATTTGAATAGTGGGTAACAAAAACGATAACTGTGTGTCTGTCTATGCTAAAATTGTGGAACAGAAAGTGGATACACATATAGGTAAAAATGGATAGTCAATCTCATTCCAAAACATTCGCGCACACTTTCAAGTACAGATCTCCATTGTGGATAGAATCAGACTCTGATATAAGCAGAAGCAGTGAGACCAGAAGTAACAGTGAGGAGAGCGTTCATAGTTCTAGTTCTGGCAGTGTCAATAATTATCTGGATTCTAAGGTTAGAGCTGGGTTTTTAAAGTATCATACACGTACTTGTTTGCCTTCAATATAACATAGGATTAAAAAGACAAACGATATTTTTTCAGTATTGTAACCAAGTGCTTAAAGAATCTTATAATTATTAGTTTATTCGCTGTGCATCTGCTATTATAAACTTACGTTTTAAAAACAGTTTTGATTTCAAATTATACATGTCACCTTAACAGGACTGTAAAAACATAGTGACGCCTTGGAAATATATTTTAATACAGAAATTGCGGAAATAATTATAATGACAAGATGTGTTGTATGGCATAACAATAGCTTAAAGATTTTATCAGAAAACATTGTGTGTGAGATTAAAGTTTCAAGATATGCTTACTAAACTATTTATTTTAAATAACTGTAACTGCCTAATGCATTATTAGTATTAAAATTTGTTATTATTTATATATTAATTTAGTTATTATTAAGTACATTAAAATATAATATATATCATGTTCATTTGTTTTTAGATAACCATTTCATATTACTGCCATCTCGTGTAAGATCGAGAAAACCCTTTTAACTCACGATTTCTTCAAGAGATGGCGTTACTCTAAGACATGCGAGTATTGAAAATATCTTAGTAGTAATATTTCTAACATAATTAAATATGTAGTTAGGAATTTGGTTTAATTAATAAATCAATACGTATTTCAGTATAACATATTCATGTTCATGTTAATAATAAATTTAAACTAAATTTCTTTGACGACATCGCATCTTCTTCGAATGAAATTTAGTATGCCAAAAGACGCATTTTAGACAAGATAATGTTTACGTGAATAACGTACACTGAATTTGTTATTAAAAACAAAATCATTTGTTATTTCCACATTTGTAATGTATCATTTTCACTAGGAGAAGTAACAAAAAAACTTAAAATAGCCAAATCAACGTAGACAAACGACAGACTTTAATGGGTGTAGGTTGGTAATTAATTAGTTAATTGTCTAATTTTACAACTTGATGCAACTGCACTCACCTCTCAGGATGCGGCCCGTTAAGTACCGCAGAGATTTGGACTGTATTCCTTTAACTGAGGTTCATATAAGTCCTAAAATAAAGCGTAGTTTTAGTATTAAATTCTGAGTTATGACTGAAAATCACCATTGGAGGTAAATTTAGAATTAAGAAAGATTCCCTATTGAATAAAAAAATTAGATTAGATCTGAAATTAAATTTTAACATTATTTGTTTGTTGAAGTTATGGATTTTCAGTTGCAAGCCAGTATTTGCAGTCTATTTATTTCGTTTTGTTTACTGCGACAAAAAAAAACATTATTATATCAAAGTTAATTGATACAAAAAATTTTAATTTGCTACTTGTTGGTGCTATTACAAAAAAAACTGTTTCCAGATACCAGAGCACCATCAGAGTACAGCATCGGGTTTCAGCGATGGAGATAACACGCAAGACGAAACGACAGCCCTCTCAGATGAAGAACACGCCAAGTAAGTTCAGTTTAAGTTATATTAGTCAAATAAGTAAACTTCTGTTTTCCCTATGGTCACCTCTTATATAATATTATTTTAATTTATAATTATGATTGATTGCTCCTTTATCGGTCTCAATCGTGACTTTCCTTAGGCAAAAAGGTACAGCCATAAGGCTAGTTTTTATGGTGAACTAGCTAGTGCCCGCGATTTCGTACGCAGGATTAGGATTAGGATTACGTAGTATCGCGCATTTAACAAACGTTTATGGCAGCGCACGCCAGAATAGCTCGCAGAAAAGTAGTTTTTTTCCTAGTTACTTGACACTTAATGTCATATTTTGGATAGCTCACACAATATCTTAATAAATTGTAGCCTATGTGTTATTCTGGTGTATAAGCTATATTATTGAAAAGTTTATTTGAAATTTATTCAGTAGTTTTTGTGTGAAAGAGAGTAACAAACATCTATACACTTCAATTATAAAACTCATTTTTCTATACTCTCAAACGTCCTTTTTCTGAACAATACGAAAAAAACTCTTACTATCTTTTTCCCATTGACAATACAAGGCTCCATTATGATTTGCAACGCATTAATATTTAAAATTAAATGCGTAAGGTCGGTCCGTCTGTAGGGAGTGGTCAGCTTAATAAGGAAGTGCATTCGAACGTTGACCCGTTGCAAAGCGAGCTGTCTGTAGTCTGAACAGCTAGAAAGATTCTATAATATCATAGTGTGAATTTATACTTGCAAGAAGAAGCATTTTAATAATATGTAGTTGTAAATTAAATTTAAGCAAAGTATTTATTCCATAATTCGAATTTAGAATCTTACGAACCCAGTTCCCGCCAAATTATATAAATTAAAATAAAGGCATAAGTGGGAAAAAGTGAGTTCATATGTTTTGTTTCTTTTGATAGAATAACGTAATAAAATTTATTTAGTTTTATTTTGTTGCGGTTCAAAACGTGCATTAATGATATCAGTAATTTTAACAACAAACCAACGTACATATTTAGTCACAAACCGGGTTAACTCTCTCTATTAAGTCTTTAATAAGTGTTCAGCAATTATATTTATTAAATACAAAGTAGTGATATGCAACAAACATGCTGTATAAATAAACAGAAAAACGTTAAAAATAACACGTATATCAAATTTTACAAGTACAGAATAATGTAGGAATATTAGACAAGCATTTAAATAAAAAACTTTAACGGTTTAAAACGAAATATATTAGTTAAACTTATTTGAAAATGATTTTTAACTACGGCCCGACGTTTCGGATGCTTTGCAGCAGCCGTGGTCACTGGGAGACTAAAGATGGAGAATGTCTCTGATGTAAAAGTAAAAAATTGCTACGCTAGCGCCATCTGTTCCGTCGAAGTTGGTATTTGGCGAAACGAAACGTCGGGCCGAAGTTAAAAATCATTTTCAAATAAGTTTAATGAATATATCGCGTTTAAACCGTTAAAGTGTTTTATTTATATATGTACTACTCGCGTAAACTATAGACAGTATATAAACAAACATTTAAAAAGAATTATGTCTTTGTTAAGCCATATATTAAAGCAATGGTACTCCTGAGGTGTGAATATCCTTCGGAAGGAAGATTGCTGTGGTAAAATACCAATTGACACACATTGGACCTCGTACTTTATGATTGCAAGACACATCCGTCTTATTGCTGCGTCCTCCAGGGCTGCTCAAATTTAGAGCTTAACCTACATTTATTCTGTATAAAAGAAGTAGAAGATGCCGTCGGTTTAACTTATCTACAGCGTTGCTCAAAAACATATTATTATAAAATTATAACTGTCTTGTAAACCATCTCACAAGCTGTTTTTTAATGAATGCCATTAAACTTCACGGGTTTAAACGAGAGATATATTAGTTGACTTATTTACAATATATTTTAAATACGGCCCGACATTTTGGATGCTTAGCGGCAGCCGTAGTTCCATTGTCATTACTATATAATTATTTAATTCGGTGCAGTTGTAAGCGCCTATAGACAATATGTCGGTGATATTTATTTTATTTTCATATAATAATTATGTTTTTTGCCTACTTTTGAGTATGAAGATTTCAGTAAAGTTCATGTCCGATCTACGATTGAAAATATAAAACTAATTTTGAAATTAATCTATACTAATATAAAAAGCTGAAGAATTTGTTTGTTTGAACGGGCTAATCTCAGGAACTACTGGTTTGAATTGAAAAATTAGTGTTGGTTAGAAAATTTATTGAGGAAGGCTATAGGCTATAAAACATAGCCCTGTGACTAATAGGAACAGCGGGAAATGTGGGAAAACGGGAAAAATTATTCATCCTTGTCGGTTTTCATTGCGTACGCAGCGAAAACGGTTCAAGATACCCAAAAAATATGTACGTAATAATGATTTTTCTTTAAATGTTTAAAAAACGTCCACGATATTATATGTCTATCTTTTAAGATTAACTTGCAAGAACGATGGGACGCGGACATCGTGGGTTTAAATTTATGTTGAACAGGAGGAGGTTTACAAGAAAAAAAATTGATACCCGAAATAACTATTTTACGCGTACGAAGTTGCTAACTTAGCTAATATTCAATAATTTTTAAAGTGAATATGGTATGTATTACATTCCTTCTTCAATATAAATTCTAAGTACATAATAAAAACGTCCAATAAGCGATAATTTTATCTGACCTAAACATAGTACGTAAATAATATAATCAAGAATGCGTGCATTGCAAGTATATCCACGTCGCCGATAGATTGTTTTTTATGTCGTTTTAATGTTTTCCCTTATAGAAGTGCATAGACTTTTTAATAAAACACTTTAACGGATTAAACACGATATATATCCGCGATAGCATCCGAAACGTCGGGCCGTAGTTAAAATTCCTTTAAACAAGTTTAACTAAAATATATCGCGTTTTAAACCGTTAAAGTGTTTATAATGTGTACTACTCGCGTAGACAGTATTTGGTATATAGACTGTTTATAATATGCACTATGTGATATTACACGTATTTATTTCAACTACGTCCACATACATAGTTCAATAAGTAAGATTTATAACCTTATTTTTTATTACACATTGTACTTGAATTATAAGAAGTCCTATTATAGATACTCTATACAATTTTTGCTTATCGGACAATATTTTACTTATTTATTATCTTATAGTTTTTTTAGATAGCTACCCGTTAACTGTTTAAACTGTAACATAGAGCGTTATCTATCATTACAGTATTTACGTAATGTCTTTATAATACGAACTGTATTTTATTACGAATACTAGTTAGTACAGATAACATATTTTTGAGATATTGTAAAGTATCTGTACTACTCAATTAGACGAGATTTTGTTGATGTTTTTGTCATATTTCCGGGTTTTTTAATTATCTATAGAGGAGGACAGACATGGCAGGGTTTACTTGATGATAGGTGATATAACCTATAGCATATAAACAAAATGCGCTGTCGATCTATTTTGGCTTTGGATATTTGGAAGTCAACGGCTTTTTTATCTGTGGAGACTGGTTCGTGACTGAATTTCTATATTACTACTACTTCCAGATGACCAAACGAAGTCCAGCATGTTTCAGGGAAACCATACATTGAAAAATTCTAAACAAGTTTGACGTGGTGGCGATCGAACCCACGACCTGTTGATGGTTAACCATACAAAATTTCCTGTCAAAATTATATTGATAGTATAAAATTCGAATAAATAAATTTAACAATTAATTATCGTCTGTATGATATTTAATCGTCACTGAATAACGTTATTAAATGTAATGCGAATACGCTTAACCTCTTAGAAATATCTAGAAGAAAGTAATTTATAGGCTCTTCACTAAAATTAAGTGCAACTTTTAAGTTATTTGTAATCGTGTTAAATTTAAAAATATATAGTTAAGTTTTAAACTAAGTGTGTTTCACACTATAGAATGTATACCATAATAAGTAATCATATATGAAAACAATATTAATTCAAAACATATTTTGTGAAACCATATAATTATTACTTGTATTTGCAGCTAAAGGTGACCTGGCAAATATTGTATTTGCTTTTTTCTCAATTTACGTTTTTTAACTATTTAACTTATAAGAGTAGCACTATTATCGGTCGCATTTTTGCTTTAATTTAACTTGCAAAGCTGTCACAATGCGGCCAGTCTACGTTGACGTGCTCGCGCGCAGAGATTTCTCGTTTTACGAATAAAATAGATATCGTTATCGTTTAATCCTGTTTGTTGTACAATGAGTTTTTGAGTGTTACAAGGTGATAATTTGTTTATTTGAGTAGTGTCTGTAAGTATTTTGCCTATAAACAATTAATTATTATATATTTGTCGATGATTATAGATATGGCTTGAAATATGAATTTCATTTATATTAAATGTGTTTATGTATAAGAAGGGAGTTTGTCGACAAAGTCGTTGTACTTTTACGCTTATACTGGGATAAAGTTATATCTTAAATAACGATTTATTACAGATTGTTTGACATACTTTTAATATAACAATTTAGGTTCAACAGCAGGATCTGTTTATTTATTAATGAGATACTCGTAACTATTAAAGGAAGATTAACAAAATAATGCGAATTATTTATGTGTTACTACAAAACTATTATGCAATATCAACGTTTAATGCCAAGTTTGAGATATTCCAAGATTTATAACGAACCGGTTGTATCGTTTTGTGGCGTCACAAATCCCAGAGGCCTTGAAAATGTCGTTAATAAGGAAATTCGCGTAAACGAGTCTTTCACGCGGTTGATAGTCGGGAATCGAGGGTAGTACGACTCTTACTCCCTTACGTAACTCGATTTTTTCTTCAATTTTATTGCATAAATAGCTTGTCTAGTTCAATAGTTAAAGACATTGCATAGCACGAGATGTCTCAGGATAGAATATCGGGTACTTTATAAACAGTGTGTAAAACAGACACATAAATGTCTCCCCGTTGTCTTACCAATAATAAAACACTATTTCACTTATCATTATATTATTCAAATACATAATAATTTAATTATAATATATTTAATTTGTAATTAGAAAAAAATCATATTATTATTTTATTTTATTACGTTATTTTATTTCACAACTTATAAGAAACAAAAGAGTAACTTTATATTATTTCATAGACTAGTTTTTCTCTACTATATTGCTGTGTTATCCTTTTTTTGTTTGTTAATAATCCGGAGAGACTAGCTGTCCACGACACAGGTAATCTTACTTTGGAGCTAGTACACCTAAACGCCAAATATAAGTAATGTTTTTGGACTATAACGAATTTTATAATTGTTGCTATAAAAGTAAAGCTACTCTTTTAAACAATACACTCTAACGGTTTAAAACGCGTTGTATATTAGTTAAACTATTTTGAAATTATTTTAACTGCGGACCGACGCTTCCAAATATTAACTAATTTCCAAATAAGTTTAACCAATGTATAACGTGTTTTAAACCGTTAAAGTGTTTTAATTAAATGTGTACTACTGCGTAAATTACAGACAGTATTTAATATACTCTTGTTTGTTAAGGTGATAACATGATAATGAACTCATTAAGTAGTGGAGTTCTAGCTTATACATCTTGCGAGATAAAGAATTAACACCTACAATAAACTTTTCCAGAACTCCCCTGCGATCGCCGCGGAGGAAACTGCCAAGAAGATCTCGTTCTGAGTTCAGTATGGATGAAGACGATTACTCACCAAGCAATTCTGTCACTTCTGTCAACTCACTCGCCAGCTTGCTCAAAGAGAAACTACAGGTTAGCGATATACTTTCACTAATAAGTATAATACTAAAGAATAGATAAATAACAAATCTTTAAAAATTAGAGCTATAGGATTTTACTTTAAATTTTAATAAAATAATTATGTGCTGCTTTATATCTTATACGTATAATAATTATCTTCTTTTTTAATTGAATACAGAAGACACGAAAGAAACGGAGTCTTATAAAAATTGTGCATAGTATTATATTTGTATATTATATGTATGACAAATATCTATTATTTTTTGTACTGTAACTTTACTGACCTTTATTAATATTTAACTTGGACTATTGAACCTTATTCACGTTCTATCTAGTAGCAACTTGCAATGGTAAAATAATCACAATAAAACGTTATTTCAGAGTATCCCCCAAAAAATGAGAAAAAAACCCACGGACTACAAGTTACGAGCTTTCGTCTTACTAATGTTTTTAGCTGTGGCATTCTTCATTGGCTTTGCATACACCCTGTATAGGCAAAAAGCCCTTACCAAGGCTTACTTCGAAAGCGTGCAATTCAATAACCCGAAGAGGCTCATCAGGATCTTTAATAGAGATGACGTGGAGATCTTGCGAGCTAGTTTAGGTAAGGTGACAGACAATACTTTTCTCTTATTGGAAACGTGGAATCTGGAAAACTAGATATCAAATGAATGGTAAGAAAATGAAAAAATTTCTGAGTCACGAACCGCCTTCACCAGAGGAAGAAGCCGTGAAGTTTAATAGAACCAAAATAAAAATAGTTGACCACGTTGAAATAGTATTTGACCTACCGTCAAGTGGACTCCATTCTAGTCTGTCCTCCATTACGTTTTATATGTAAGTAATAATGAGGTAAACGTGAAATCTTCATTTAAAATTTTTTATAACCCATATTTTCTCTTTTAAGCTCAATGCTGTTATATAAGAACAATCAAATTGTCCACCATCAAAATATTCTTCATTAGTTGTCGCAAAGTGATTAAAAACATGTTCTTTCAGCTAGAGAAGTGAAAGACAAGAAGAAGTCGTTCCCCTGTCTGCAAAAACACCAGCGCTGGGACGGGTCCGTGTGTTTAGAGTGGGAGGAGGACTTGCGCTTCTACCTCAAATGTCTTCCACATGACCCTGGCCTCGACAACACGACCTGCTACTCTGTTCATTGGCAAGCTTTAAGACACGGTAAGAGGAATATATCTGCATTTTTTATGTTACGTAGATAGATCAAAAGTTTTGAAAAAACATGGACAGAGGACCGATGTTACATATATTTCTATTTAAAAAAGCCAATTTACTGAATCCCTGGTTACATTAGCGTCTCGTTCTACGATGTTTTATTTTTAGATTATTCTTTAGTTTTCTTCATAGTGTCTATAATGGAACTAATTTGACATTGGAGCTAAAATATCATAAAATTAATTTAAGCGAAGGCATAAGCGTGACAAACTTTAAACTGTTACAGATATATCCCCGACGGACTGCTTCGATTGGGGCGAAACTAAGGTTCATTGGTACGGCGGTGGTCAATCGGCTAACCTGACGTGGCCCCTCGACACTGGCGCCATAGACTATACTCCGTTTATCACCGGTGACATGCAGAAGCACCAATTTGGCAACGTTCTGACACGATACTTCATCAACTCTAAGGGTGCCGCTATCATAATTGATGATGAAACGCCTCTTCACGTCGCTGTAAATAATGGAAAAAAGGAAATCTGCATAAGGGCTCAATACGACAACTTTGCATTTGCTAATCGACTCACAGACTTTGCAGAACTAAAGTACAACATCTGCACGTCATTAGATATGAAATCTCTCCATTCCTCGATTCACAGCCACACTAGAGCCCCACTGTGGGACGGCTTGAAGCCAGCTGACATGCAAACGTTGGAATCATTAATATCAGAACCCGTCTGGCAGATTGCCCCACGATTTAAACACGAGCTGAAAGCGGAAACGATCTCCAAATATACAGAAGACGTGATAGACTTGGGATTCTTGAAACTTGGCCACGTTCTAGTTAATGAGTTCTGGCAGAATGAAATAGGTGATTTTACCGTGGATTCTAGTCGTTTTGAAATTCTAAATACTACTGTAGACAAATTACATCGGCGAGGGTTCAAGGTCGCTTTTACTGTGCAGCCGTTTATAAGCACTGAAAGCGGAAATTTCCCGGAGACAGTTCAAAAGAGACTGCTGATAACGGAAAGAAATGGTGATAGGAGGATTCCGGCCCTGACTCGATTTAAGTCTGTAGACAGCGCGGGGGTACTAGACGTGACAGATGTAAGGGCCCAGGAATGGATTCAGGAGAAATTGCAAGTGGTTATGGACGAGTACCATATAGATTCTTTCTATTTTGACCTAGGGACGGCGCATGATATGCCCCACTACTATAGCTGCGAACGACGACTGATCAATCCTGATCAGTATAAGACGGCCTTTGTAAAGGCGTTTGAAAAGACTTTGAGTATCATCGGCGTATCTTCAGCAGTGAGCCTCCCAAGGCCGCCGATCTTTGTATCTCTGCCTCCGTTCGAATCTAGTTGGGAGGCTCTAAGATCCGTTATACCGACGATGCTGACATACGGTGTGAACGGGTACCCCTTCATCATGCCCGGAGCTGTCGGCGGCGACATCTATTGGCCGGGAAGTGAACAATTTCTTCCATCGGCCAAAGGATCCCTCGACATGAATTTGACCAACTCCACTCAAGAGAATGGTATTGTGTTACCGGATAAGGAACTATACATGAGATGGCTGCAAATGGCGACTTTTCTTCCTGTTATGAAATTTACGCACCTCCCCAGTAAATACAACGATGAAAAGGTTTTAGAAATGGCTAAAAATTTAACGCTTTTGAGACAGAAGTTGGTAAGTTAGTTTCAATTTCTCAGAGCTTAGTCTAATTAAAAGGTATATTATTTAAGCTAGAAAAAGGTATTTTTTTTTATTAAAAAAGATACAAACAAAACTTTAATATATTTAAAAATACTCTTAACCTTAAACATGGTTACTTTTTGTTTTCAGATTACTCCCTTGCTGCTGAAGTACAAACGAGAGGCTTTGGAGGAAGGTCTGCCGCTAATCAGGCCACTCTGGCTGGTAGCAGATGGAGACGCTTCGCTGATGGTGCAAGATGAATTCGCCATTGGTGACGAAATAGTAGTGGCGCCAGTCTTATACCAAAATCAGACTACGAGAGAAGGTATGCTTTGGTCTTTCAGATCTTGTCGCTGGCGTTGCGAATACCTAACGTGGATTATATACTCTACAATACTTCTTGCGACGTTTTCCTACGAATCCTATGATTATTAATAGTTTTACGGTTTCAGTTTACCTGCCGACTGGCCTTTGGCAAGACGGCATTGATGGATCTCTGCGCAAAGGCAACAGATGGATGCACGAGTACAAAGTGCCAACGGACCGAGTTGCTTACTTCTTACGAAAACCAGATGATATGAGATTTTAATAATTGCCAAAACAATATTAACTCCAAGTTTTATTTATATATAACCGGAAAAAACTTGGATCTGTATCTTCTTTCCGGGATTCAAATGTGGGATCACTCTTATTACTTGCTTTGTAAAGTGTCGTGTTCATTTCGTTTGTCAATAGTTAAACAGAAGCTTAAAAATTAGTTCATTACTATTTTAAACCCAAAATATTATCCAAGTTACAAGGCGCATTTTATAAGTCTGATATCTAGATAGAATACCTATTGGTTATGGTCCAATTCGGAAAAGGATTCTTTCTTATTTAAGCGTTAAGTAAGTAAGAAAAATGTTCTTTGATGTTGTTCATTTCACGAAGAAGAGAGAGATCACGTAGAGCTATTAAAGTAGGAAAAATCTGTTCTTGCTATAAGAATGTGTTTCTTTATTTACTGTTGATTTTAGCGCCATCTATAACTTATGGGTACTACACATGTAATACCCTAGAAGGACTTTATTTAAGTCAATCAAGAAAATAAAAATAGTATTGAAGATTTAGAATTGTATATTTAAGTGATTGCCAAAAATTAATTATACTATTGTAAGTAATGAGCGCGTAAATATTATTTTTATTTTAAAAATACGAAACTGCCTTTTGTTATCTTATAACTATAACATATTAAGTTATTTTTTAATTTGAGTATTTACGTGCTCATAATATTATGTTAATTATGTAAGATACATTTTATTATTATTAATCTAGTCTATAATTTTGTTATCATTTGCCATTTACCTTTGGTATTTCCCGATGTCTTTGATGTCTTTGTCAAATAGGGCTGTGTTAATGTAAATTAGAAAAGGATTGGAGGATTGTTTTGAAAGCCATAATTTGGATTCATTTGTATTATTTAAGGTGAAAAGCTCTTAGTTTACGAGTGAATTTTTCATTATTATATATAGCGATTTATTGATCCCAGGAATATATGTGAAAAGTAAATTTGCTTATGTTTTTAGGAATTTTATTTATGTGCCCTTTTTATTCATGTAACCTTTTTGCGAGAGCTGATTGCCTGATTTATTATGGATCGTAATCTCACTTTTGGAAGGTTCAATAGGGTCTAAGGGTTCGACTCTCGCTGGGTCCAACCTATTTTATAATAAATTTATAATTTTTTTAAAGACCTTGGATTTTGTCCAGAAATTGGGATTTAAAATGGTTGATCAGAATACCGAAAATTCGCACCGGGTCACTTATACTATCATACGCAGAAGGGACAGACGTAAAGTTTAATAGCGTTGCGGTTTCTTTTCTATTAGCCAAAGTACGTTGGCATCTTGTTGAGATGTTAAATGACTCTTGATGATGATGAGAAATTTCTCCTTCTAATATAAAAAGATAAAGAACCTTACACATATAGACAGGTCTAAACTATCTGTTGTCTGTAAGGTGGTTAAATAAAAGAAACGATTTTTTTATATCTTTATTTAGTTTAATCTCTTATACATCACCAAACACGCTGAATGGGGGATAGCGACATGACTGATACAATGAAATCTTTTTTTACCATTTTAATTTACATAATACAATAATAGTTACAAATACCTAAGATCCACGTGGGACTATATCATTATTTAAATTATTAAACATAGTATGCAAAAATATTGAACTCGACGCGATCAGTCCGTCCATTAAGCGTGTCCTAAACCAAAGGACAGTTATCTAGCACAATCAGTTGTTAGCACCAAGCTTCACCTAAATTTAACCCACAATATCTACATGCCGATATATACCTATCTACACTCGTCTCCCGTTCACGAGGCCGTAACGTTTCCATACCCCCCTCCCCCCCACCACAAATTAACCGTCAGTAGAAAACAGGAGAAATATGCACAAAAGCCAAAATCACCGAAACATATCGTGTAGTCAATGAATTCTAAACATTCAAATCTTCATAATAATAATTAACATTATTATAGATAGTTTAATAGATTTTGTAACACACAAAATTAACAGGTAAGTCTATCCATGTTAAAACATTTAATAATTTCAATAATGACTTCATTTCGAGAGCTATTGATGTTTACTAAGCTGATACAATTCTTAATTAACAACATTTTAATATTCCTAATAATATGCATTAATAATTAGAGTTCTAGCTATAAAATACAATAGTAGTCCCGGCTTCGTCTGAAACCGACGAAATCGTGAGATTTCGGAAAGGCTCAAAAACTAGCACTTTTAAAAGCATATTGCTCACAATTTGCTGATACATCACTGTTTGTTAAAAGTGATATCAAACCGTTATAACGAAAAATGATATTTATGATGTCTTTCAATTCAGAGAATTATATGTAAAGAAGTGTAAAACAAATGAATGTCAAAGTCAAAATCCTTAATACGGCTGTTAATGTATCAGAAAATTGTATTCTTTTTGAAGCGGGTTATCCTGTTCCATTCGTTTAAGCAAAACTATCACTCACACAAATCAACACGCAATATAGTCGCACCTATATAAATCAAATAACTATAAACAAAACATTATCCGTCCGTACATAAAAAATAAATATTTATATTTTAGTTAATAGTATATTTATCGTTCGTCTTTAAGATAAATACGTTGTGCTGGTGCTTGCGATATACCGAAGTTAATATTTAAAGGTAAAGGTATTTTGGCAAAGAAAGCATTAGTTTATTCCATTAGATTAGTTAGCTTAACGCTATGGATGACTTAAAATAATTGACTTAAAGGTTTATCTCGCTTGGCAGAAATGAAATGGAGGTTCATCGAATCAGTATGGGAACAGTCAACTTACGTCCTAGGCTAGACGGTATATGAATTATCACATTCGCACAACATTCGCACCACACCGAATATCAAGGAATCGATAGATTACACCGAATACGTAATATAACAAAATAACGTCGAAATCATTGCGAATAGGAACATACGATATTCATATTTGGGACTCGACTAGAAATTTTATACGATGCCAAAACTTTCAACTACGAGATTCATTTGAGAGTCGCCATAACATCGAAAATTTGAAACAACATCGAAAATATCGTGAGTGAAAATGTCGAAATAAATCGGTTCTACTTAGTATTTCTAATAAACGTTTTTATTATATGAATTAAGCTCTATATCGTCTTAGGCTCCGTTGGAGTTTGAAAAGCAGAAATTACGTTCGAACGTTATAAATTGGGGCTTGGCTGCCTTGACACACATTGACATATATCGACAGATTCATGCAGGCTTTAAATCTGTCCGATATATCTCAAATGTATTTAATTATAGTGCTATTTTTGTGCATTGTACGAAATTTCAGTATCGCCATAATCGGAGAAAGTAATGAGGATTTTCCTTCGACTATCCGATAGTTTATCATTATCTATTGCGCAATTTCTACCTTTCCAACTCGAAGAAACAATTAAATTACTTCTATTAAACCAAGCGTGCCCAGCGCACGGTGTCTTTTCAAGACATCTATATATATTATAGTCTCTGGTCGTAAAAAATTATGTAGCTCAGGATAGTTTTCTAAATCGGCATTCATCCGTGAGTAAACGTCGTCGTTTTAAATGTTTTCCGTTAAATCTCACAATGCGATAGCAAAATAATTATTTTCCAAAAATTTAGATCTTTCGCACAAGCGGTGTTTCGGCTAAACAAAATGGACTGGTTACGCTAAAAATCGTGTATAAAAGCTCTACTCATTGTATAAGACCGAATTCAAAAATATTATCAGAAATATAAGACTTTAAATGGCATGTACTTTGACGCTACTAGAAAACAGTTTTAGAAAAAAATGGACGTTTTTATTTTTAGGTCGAGAAATCGATTGGATGCGATCGAGAACGTCTTCGGGGTCGATGCGGGCATCGTGTTGTTCCGTGTCTATGAACATTATCTACAATTGGTACACAGTCCGTCTTAAGTTATATCACAAATGCTCTATTTGCGAGCGGTCTCAGCGGAGGAGCGACGCTCACTTCTCCGATGAAAAGGCTACAAATAGACCCGACACCTAGAACTCGAGCCTGTACGCCGCGCACGAAGTCTCGTGATCCTGCAGGTTGATGGTGCAGCGAGAGGCAGACGGTGACAAGTCGATCTTGTACTTTTCCAGAGCCTCTTCGTTCTCTGCCACCCAGTAGCCAAGCACGTCTGTGTCGTACGTGGGGATGATCGTTACTTCTGTTAGAAATAAATTTGTGTGAACATAGTATTGCTTTTACAAAATGCACGAAGTCATAAAATAATCTTTAATTTATGCAAATAACTAATAAAAAAGTTAAAGCAAACAAAACATTATATTTCAATGTATCTTTTCTTCTGGAATACGCCTAAAACACGTATGTGTTCTATAATATAGCATATAAATTGCCAAGTAAAAGCGTTTTAACGTTATAAATAATTTGTCCTACCTACCTAGACTCTTATCTTCCCACGTTTTTTTGGCATCTAGTAGCGCGTTGTATATTTCCTTAGAAGGTTCTGTTCCCGAGAAAACGTAGTATCGCGCCCGCACCCTTTTGAAAAATTCCATCGCCGAATAGTAAGAGTTGCCGTGGTGTGGAACATACGTGAGGTCCATGTAAATAGGTGCGGGTGATTTCTTTTTACTGGGTGACTCTGGAGAAGCTTTCGCCTCTTTACTTCTTTCCTGATTTATTTTATTTTTATTTGCGACGGATGAACTTGTAGGTTGCTTCTTTGGTGTACTTTTTCCATCAGAAGGTAGAATAGGACTAGGTAGTCCGAGAGGCTTACCCCACGATTCGATCGGATCTTTGGCGCCTTCGTGTTTATCGGTCCTCGAAGTTTCTACCCTGTCTTCTTTGCGTGTGCTAGATTTCTTTGCTTCAGATCTTATTTCCTTTAAAGAAACCTTAGATTCTTCTGTCTTGGTAGATTCTTTGCTGCTCGACTGGCTTTCATCTAACTCATATTTAGCAGTGATGCTAGAAATAACAGTTGAACCGCTTATTTTTTTATGCTCTTCGATCGCTCTGTCGAATTGTTTATCGGCTTCTTTTAAAAACGTGGAAACCGATGAGTCTTCACTCCTTGCAGATTTTGATTTCTCGTGCGATAAAAATTCGTCAGTTATCACCTTTATTGTTCGATCTCTAAAATCACTTTCTTGTTCTTTTTCAGAATAAGAATGGTCGACATCGTCGCCTGGGAGTTGTCCGTAAATTGACATGGACATAGGGTCCTCTTGTTCTTTATGCTGTGAAATTTTAGTATCCAGTTCGAAACTAAGATTAGATCTCGGAGATTGGGCTACTTGAGACTTAGTGCTGCTCGGGCTAACCTGACCATCCTCGTCGCTGTAGTACATGCCACTGCCACTTTCCGTGGCCCATACGTGGGTAGCTGCTCTTGACTCTCTGGAACTTATATCTGATGGTGGAGTTGACATGCCAGGGTGATCTAAGTCATCGCTAGCAGCAGATGAACTACGCATATCGCTTGTTTTTCCTGAATATTTTGAGAATGATTTCTCACTTTCCCCTGCGTCAATAATTTCTTCATATTCCTCTTTAAATTCAGATATTGTAGTTTTAGTGGATTTGGTTGTTTTTGTTACTCCATCGCTTCCTTTGCTGATTGTTGTCGTTTCAACAGTAATTTTGACCTTTTCTGGACTGATAACTTCCTTTGTAGTTACAACAGTTATAGTTTGATGTATTTCGTTACCGCCTTCCTTTTTTAATTTTGTAAATGTTTCTGTTTCTGTAGTAATTTCACCCACAGGAGACTTTTTCTTTTTGTGCTCTTTCTGTTTAAGCTCCACTGGTTTGATCTTTAACTCAGCGATTGTAGGTTTATCCACCTTTTTGCTTTCCTGCTTACCATTTAAGCTTGGCTGTAAAACTTTCTCACTTGGCTCGGGCGACAAATCTTCAAAAGATATTCCTGGAGGAAGGTGGTCAACTTGCGTCCGAACATCTTTAGTTGCCTCAACAGATCCATCTTCTCTAATGTTTTCAGTTACTGTTTCTGTAACGGTTTTGACAGCAATCTCGTTTGAATCTCTCTTTCTAAGTTCTTCTTTAGTTATAAACGTTGTTATATTTTGAGTTATTTTTCCTAGTGTATCATCTGTTAATATATTAATTTTTCTATCGACAAAGTTTTTTATTTTCCCAGTAAAAATAAAGTCTTGTAAAGCAGCCTGCAAGTCTTCGTCGGAAGCTCTTTGGAATTCTGATATAGTTATTTTTACGTCTCTGGTAGTTTCGACTGAACCGTCGGGATACTCATCTTCCGTTATTGTTTCAACTGTTGTTCGTAAACGACGTACATTAATATCGGAAGAGGCCAAAGTTTCCCGCTTTGTATTTGTAGTAACAGACCGCTTTATTAAAACTGACTCGCGATTTATAATTTCTTTTTTAACATCTGTTTCGTCAGAGACAGCTTCTACAATTTCCGTGTCTTCATACTTATCTGTTGCATTGTTGGCTTCTTCTGTATGTTGTGAAAAAACATTAGCAAATGATACTTTTTCACTTTTTTTAATTTTTACTGTACCATCAGAATAAGAATCTTCAACAGTGGTTTTAATTGTAGTCTTCATAGTCTTTGATAAAGTTTCTTTATTTTGTAATATCTGATTTGTGGTCTCAGTAGTTGTCTTTCGATTTATTTCTGTACCATTTTCAAATATTTGTTCATGTCTTAATTGTATTTGTTTATCAGGCGAACCAATTTCTATGCAGTCTTTTAAGTTCTCAAAAGAATCATGTGTTTTAAAATCAGCCATAGACACCTGCACATCTTTGATAACCTCAATACTTCCATTTTCCAGGTCAGTTTCAGTAACAGTTTCTACAGTAGTTTTTAGTTTCTTGTCTTCATTATTATCACATATAATCTCTTTTGTAGTCGTAACAGTAATTTGTTGTTTCAGTACTTTCCCATCTCGGTTAATGAAATTTTCCCTTGTATCGGTTTTTACGATTTTACCAGTTTCTTCTAAACATTTTGAATCTATAAATTGATCATCTGCGCTAATTTTCTCTGATTTTAAGAACTCAACTGATTCAATAGACTTGTCTTTATCTTTTCTTATTTGTGGAAGGTTTGTATTGATATCACATTTTTTTTTCTGTTTATCACTAATTGAAACTTTTTCACTTGTTTTAGATATGATTGATCCATCTGGATATAGGTCTTCAATAAACTCCCTCGTCGTTATTCTTGTTTTTAATAAATCTTTGGATGTATTCATGAATTCTTCCGTAAATGTCGTAATCGTTAATTGTCTATTTACATTTAGGCCGTTCACTACAATAATTTCAGATGACTTTTCAATTTTTTCTTTAGGTTCATCGATTAAATAGAATCCTTCCAAAGTAATTTCATTTTTAAACTCATCTAAGCAGTCTGACACCAATACTTTTATATCTTTTGTAACTTCTACGATTCCATCAGGCAATGTAGTTTCTGTAATAGTTTCGGTAGTAGTTCTTAACTTTTTTCTGAGTTTATCACTGGTTGATAAAATTTCTTTAGTAATGGTTACTGTGATTAATTGTTGTACATTTTGACCGTTTATAATATTTGATTTTTCTTGTTTCTCAACATTTATTTGCTTATCTTCTAAGACTGTATAATCTTTTAACTCTATGCTATCTTCAATACTAGGAAGACAATAGACATCAGAAATAGATACGTTTGTATCCACTTTGCTTCTCGAGGAACCATCGGGATATTGATTAGTAGTAGTCACAGTTCTGACCGTTTTTATCTTTTTAAGAGATCCATATTCATCAGCGTACTTTGTTTTAATGATTTTAGTAGTTATAATTCGCTTAATTAAAATGTTTTCTTCCAGAATTTCTTCGCTATGTGTCGAAATACTTTCTTCTGGCTCTTCGTGTACGGTCAGCCCATTTAAAATGTTATCAATTGTGTTATTTACGTTTGTTTCAATTGCCTCTGTTTTGACTTCAACTGTTTTTTTTGTTTCTTTTGAGCCATCGGGCTTTTCTTTAGCGATATTTTTTTCAATTGTTGTCTTCATTACTGATTTATCATCTTCCATAGGAATTATCTCCTTTTTAGTAACTATAGTTTCTGTTTCAATTATGTCGATATCACCTTCTCGGATAATACGTTTTCGGACATTAGTGTCAATATTTATATTCTCTGCACTATCACATTTTTCTGAAATCGGAATAAATGAGGGTTCACTTTTATCTGTGTATACTATATTTAATTTTTCGTCAGCTATGTCATGAATATTTAAATCAGATGTTCCACCTCTAGTTAATAAATCCATTTGAGATGTAGACTTAAGGCTAGAAGAACATTCTGATAAAACAGTCTGGGTGTCTTTGGTTGTAGTAGTAGAGCCATCAGAATTTTTACTCAGCGTTGTTGTTTCTATAGTCGTTTTTACATTTTGTGGTGTCCCATCGTCCTTCGATATTATTTCTCTAGATGTAACTGTTGTTATAGTTTGAGTTACTACGTTTTCTCCTTCTTTTATTATTTTCGTTACAGTATCTGTTTCTGTTTTAATCTTTCCTACTGAATGGGTAAGTGCTTGTATGTTTGAGTCAACGAAAGTGTCAGATAACGATGCTTTAGGGACTTTTTCTGTTGAAGTAGATATTTTTTGTGTCAGAACGTCCTCACCAACATGTACGGTTTTAGTAATTATCTCTTCACTTCCATCTGATTTGTCATATGAAATTTCGCTTTGCACTCCATCACTTACTTTTACGTCATGAAAAGCTCCTGGGGCTTTGGGTAATGGGCTAACAGGAACTGTTGGTGGAGTTGAAACACGATCAAAAGATTGAACAGACAAAGATTCATTACTTTCCGTCTTTATGCCTTGTTGGATGGAATCGTCACCAAAAGCCTTTTGTATAGATTTTAAAAGATCTGTTGAAGATACAACAACATCTTTTGTTTCAGAAATTTTATTTTTATCGAAGATTTTTTTATCATCTCCAAATTCCAAAGTCTCATAAATATACTTTTCCTCCGTGTCGCGTTTTACTCGTTTTTGCTGTTTTTCTTTCTCTGAACTTTCAAAGCTATATTTTTCTTCTAAACTTATTTCTTTTGAAACATCCTCAGAGCTACTATATGACTTCACACTTTTAATATTTTTATCTGATAACTCTCCATTTGAACCGTTACAATGTATCGTTTCTTCCTTTATTAAGATTGATAAATTCTGGAGAGACATTTCATCAATTGGAATCGATTTTGGTATGTAATTTTCTGGTGCCTCTATTTGCAATGGACTCGAATCTTTCTGAGACATACCTACTTCCTCGTCAATTAGGGTTTCAATTGTTTCTGATTTTAATAAACTTGACAATTCCTTAGATGTGTCTATATTTTCATACTTAAGGCTCGATGACTTATCTAAACTTTCGACTTTCTTACTAAAAACAGTTTCTTCTTTGTCAAAGGGCTCGTTCTTCAAAACATCTTTACAAAGAATGGGATATTTTGGTTTGTCATAAAGGCCTGTTTCCATCTCCTCGAAACTGGATTCTTTTACAAATGGTTTTTCTTTATCCAAAACATCTTTTACGGGGCTTTGAGCTTTATGCTTGTCATCGAGGACTGCTATTTCCTTAACAGGGCTGAGATCAACCTTTTCTTTAATATTTTTTTCCTGGCTAAAAGATTTTAGTTGACTATCGACGATATCTTCTTTGCTATCAGAACTAAACTCTTTTTCAATTGGAATGTACTTTTGTAAAACATCGTTATCTGAAATACAAGATTTTTCTCTGATTTCAGGTATCATATCAGAGACAGTTTCAAATTTTACAATAAGCTTGTCCTTCTCTGAAACATCCTTCACGGGACTAGGCAACTTCTGTATGTCACCAAGAACAGTTCTAATATTCTTGTTAGTGAGATCTTTTACTATTGATTCATTTTTGTCTTCAACATCTTCTACGGGGCTTGTTGCTTTCTCTTTGTCATCGAGCTTTCTAACTTCCGTCGAAGGACAAGGCTCTTTAATTATTGATTCGTCCTTTTCCCAAAGATGTTTGACGGGGCTTGGTGATTTCTCTTTGTTATCAAGATTTTTTACTTCTGTCAAAGGACTAGGCTCTTTCATAATTATTTCGTCTTTTTCTAAAACATCTTTTTCAGGACTAGGAGATTTGGATTTGACATCAACGACTGATTTTTCCTTTATATCTTCTTTGACCATTTCCTCAAAATATTTAACGGGGCTTGGTGATTTCTCTGTTTCATAAAGTTCTTTTACTTCTTCCAAAAGACTAGCTTCTTTCTTAATTGATACTCTCTTTTCCAATTGATCTTTTACTGGGCTTGGTAATTTCTCTTTGTCATCAAGACCTTTAACTTCTGTCGTAAGACTTGGCTCTTTTTTTATTGATTCGTCCTTTTCTAAAACATATTTTTCGGAACTAGGTGATTTTGATTTGATATCAAGAACTATTTTTTCTTTTTCGTCTACTTTGACCTTTTCCTCAACATCGGTAACGAGGCTTGAAGCTTTTTCTTTTACGTCAAGTCCTTTCATTTCTGCCGTAGGACTAGGCTCTTTCTTAAATGATTCGCTTTTTTTTTCAAGATCTTTAACAGGACTGAGTGATTTGGATTTGACATCAAGGACTGGTTTTTCCTTCTCACCTTCTTCGATCTTTTCCTTAAGATCTTTTACGGGGCTTGGTGATTTTTCTTTGTCTTCAAAACCTTTGACGTCTGTCGTAGGTGTAAGCTCTTTCTTAATTGATTCGCCCGTTTTCTCAACATCTTTAACGGGGCTTGGTGATTTTGACTTGACATCTAGGACTGGTTTTTCCTTCTCATCTACTTTGACTATTTTCTCAACATCTTCAACGGGGCTTGGTGATTTTGACTTGACATCTAGGACTGGCTTTTCCTTCTCAACTTCTTCGATCTTTTCCTCAAGATCTTTTACGGGGCTTGGGGATTTCTCGTTGTCATCAAGACCTTTGACTTCTGTCGTAAGACTTGGCTCTTTTTTTATTGATTCGTCCTTTTCCAAAACATCTTTTTCGGAACTAGGTGATTTTGATTTGATATTAAGGATTGATGTTTCTTTTTCATCTACTTTGACTATTTTCTCAACATTTTTAACGGGGCTTGGTGATTTCGACTTGACATCTAGGACTGGCTTTTCCTTCTCAACTCTTTCAATCTTTTCCTTAAGATCTTTTACGGGGCTTGGTGATTTTTCTTTGTCTTCAAAACCTTTGACGTCTGTCGTAGGTGTAAGCTCTTTCTTAATTGATTCGCCCGTTTTCTCAACATCTTTAATGGGGCTTGGTGATTTTGACTTGACATCTAGGACTGGTTTTTCCTTCTCATCTACTTTGACTATTTTCTCAACATCTTCAACGGGGCTTGGTGATTTTGACTTGACATCTAGGACTGGCTTTTCCTTCTCAACTTCTTCGATCTTTTCCTCAAGATCTTTTACGGGGCTTGGTGATTTCTCTTTGTCATCAAGACCTTTGACTTCTGTCGTAAGACTTGGCTCTTTTTTTATTGATTCGTCCTTTTCCAAAACATCTTTTTCGGAACTAGGTGATTTTGATTTGATATTAAGGATTGATGTTTCTTTTTCATCTACTTTGACTATTTTCTCAACATCTTTAACGGGGCTTGGTGATTTCGACTTGACATCTAGGACTGGCTTTTCCTTCTCAACTTCTTCAATCTTTTCCTTAAGATCTTTTACGGGGCTTGGTGATTTCTCTTTGTCATCAAGACCTTTGACGTCTGTCGTAGATGTAAGCTCCTTCTTCATTAATTCGTCCTTTTCTAAAACATCTTTTTCGGGACTTTGTGATTTTGATTTGATATCAAGTACTGTTTTTTCTTTTTCGTCTATTATGACCTTTTCCTCAACATCGGTAACGGGGCTTGAAGCTTTTTCTTTTACGTCAAGTTCTTTCATTTCTGCCGTAGGACTGGGCTCTTTCTTAATTGATTCGCTCTTTTCTTCAAGATCTTTAACGGGACTGGGAGATTTGGATTTGACACCAAGGACTGGTTTTCCCTTCTCATCTTCTTCGATCTTTTCCTCAAGATCTTTTACGGGGCTTGGTGATTTCTCTTTGTCATCAAGACCTTTGACTTCTGTCGTAAGACTTGGCTCTTTTTTTATTGATTCGTCCTTTTCTAAAACATCTTTTTCGGAACTAGGTGATTTTGATTTGATATCAAGAACGATTTTTTCTTTTTCGTCAACTTTGACCTTTTCCTTAACATCGGTAACGGGGCTTGAAGCTTTTTCTTTTACTTCAAGTTCTTTCATTTCTGCCGTAGGACTGGGCTCTTTCTTAATTGATTCGCTCTTTTCTTCAAGATCTTTAACGGGACTGGGAGATTTGGATTTGACACCAAGAACTGGTTTTTCCTTCTCATCTTTTTCGATCTTTTCCTCAAGATCTTTTACGGGGCTTGGTGATTTCTCTTTGTCATCAAGACCTTTGACTTCTGTCTTAAGACTTGGCTCTTTTTTTATTGATTCGTCCTTTTCTAAAACATCTTTTTCGGAACTAGGTGATTTTGATTTGATATCAAGAACTATTTTTTCTTTTTCGTCTACTTTGACCTTTTCCTTAACATCGGTAATGGGGCTTGAAGCTTTTTCTTTTACGTCAAGTCCTTTCATTTCTGCCGTGGGACTAGGCTCTTTCTTAAATGATTCGCTCTTTTCTTCAAGATCTTTAACGGGACTGGGAGATTTGGATTTGACATCAAAGACTGGTTTTTCCTTCTCATCTTCTTCGATCTTTTCCTCAAGATCTTTTACGGGGCTTGGTGATTTTTCTTTGTCTTCAAAACCTTTGACGTCTGTTGTAGGTGTAATCTCTTTCTGAATTGATTCGCCCGTTTCCTCAACATCTTTTACGGCGCTTGGTGATTTCTCTTTGTCATCAAGACCTTTGACGTCTGTCATAGGTGTAAGCTCCTTCTTAATTAATTCGTCCTTTTCTAAAACATCTTTTTCGGGACTTTGTGATTTTGATTTGATATCAAGTACTGTTTTTTCTTTTTCGTCTATTATGACCTTTTCCTCAACATCGGTAACGGGGCTTGAAGCTTTTTCTTTTACGTCAAGTTCTTTCATTTCTGCCGTAGGACTGGGCTCTTTCTTAATTGATTCGCTCTTTTCTTCAAGATCTTTAACGGGACTGGGAGATTTGGATTTGACACTAAGGACTGGTTTTCCCTTCTCATCTTCTTCGATCTTTTCCTCAAGATCTTTTACGGGGCTTGGTGATTTCTCTTTGTCATCAAGACCTTTGACTTCTGTCGTAAGACTTGGCTCTTTTTTTATTGATTCGTCCTTTTCTAAAACATCTTTTTCGGAACTAGGTGATTTTGATTTGATATCAAGAACTATTTTTTCTTTTTCGTCAACTTTGACCTTTTCCTTAACATCGGTAACGGGGCTTGAAGCTTTTTCTTTTACTTCAAGTTCTTTCATTTCTGCCGTAGGACTGGGCTCTTTCTTAATTGATTCGCTCTTTTCTTCAAGATCTTTAACGGGACTGGGAGATTTGGATTTGACATCAAAGACTGGTTTTTCCTTCTCATCTTCTTCGATCTTTTCCTCAAGATCTTTTACGGGGCTTGGTGATTTTTCTTTGTCATCAAGACCTTTGACTTCTGTCTTAAGACTTGGCTCTTTTTTTATTGATTCGTCCTTTTCTAAAACATCTTTTTCGGAACTAGGTGATTTTGATTTGATATCAAGAACTATTTTTTCTTTTTCGTCTACTTTGACCTTTTCCTTAACATCGGTAATGGGGCTTGAAGCTTTTTCTTTTACGTCAAGTCCTTTCATTTCTGCCGTGGGACTAGGCTCTTTCTTAAATGATTCGCTCTTTTCTTCAAGATCTTTAACGGGACTGGGAGATTTGGATTTGACATCAAAGACTGGTTTTTCCTTCTCATCTTCTTCGATCTTTTCCTCAAGATCTTTTACGGGGCTTGGTGATTTTTCTTTGTCTTCAAAACCTTTGACGTCTGTCGTAGGTGTAAGCTCTTTCTTAATTGATTCGCCCGTTTCCTCAACATCTTTTACGGCGCTTGGTGATTTCTCTTTGTCATCAAGACCTTTGACGTCTGTCATAGGTGTAAGCTCCTTCTTAATTAATTCGTCCTTTTCTAAAACATCTTTTTCGGGACTTTGTGATTTTGATTTGATATCAAGTACTGTTTTTTCTTTTTCGTCTATTATGACCTTTTCCTCAACATCGGTAACGGGGCTTGAAGCTTTTTCTTTTACGTCAAGTTCTTTCATTTCTGCCGTAGGACTGGGCTCTTTCTTAATTGATTCGCTCTTTTCTTCAAGATCTTTAACGGGACTGGGAGATTTGGATTTGACACTAAGGACTGGTTTTCCCTTCTCATCTTCTTCGATCTTTTCCTCAAGATCTTTTACGGGGCTTGGTGATTTCTCTTTGTCATCAAGACCTTTGACTTCTGTCGTAAGACTTGGCTCTTTTTTTATTGATTCGTCCTTTTCTAAAACATCTTTTTCGGAACTAGGTGATTTTGATTTGATATCAAGAACTATTTTTTCTTTTTCGTCAACTTTGACCTTTTCCTTAACATCGGTAACGGGGCTTGAAGCTTTTTCTTTTACTTCAAGTTCTTTCATTTCTGCCGTAGGACTGGGCTCTTTCTTAATTGATTCGCTCTTTTCTTCAAGATCTTTAACGGGACTGGGAGATTTGGATTTGACATCAAAGACTGGTTTTTCCTTCTCATCTTCTTCGATCTTTTCCTCAAGATCTTTTACGGGGCTTGGTGATTTTTCTTTGTCATCAAGACCTTTGACTTCTGTCTTAAGACTTGGTTCTTTTTTTATTGATTCGTCCTTTTCTAAAACATCTTTTTCGGAACTAGGTGATTTTGATTTGATATCAAGAACTATTTTTTCTTTTTCGTCTACTTTGACCTTTTCCTTAACATCGGTAATGGGGCTTGAAGCTTTTTCTTTTACGTCAAGTCCTTTCATTTCTGCCGTGGGACTAGGCTCTTTCTTAAATGATTCGCTCTTTTCTTCAAGATCTTTAACGGGACTGGGAGATTTGGATTTGACATCAAAGACTGGTTTTTCCTTCTCATCTTCTTCGATCTTTTCCTCAAGATCTTTTACGGGGCTTGGTGATTTTTCTTTGTCTTCAAAACCTTTGACGTCTGTCGTAGGTGTAAGCTCTTTCTTAATTGATTCGCCCGTTTCCTCAACATCTTTTACGGCGCTTGGTGATTTCTCTTTGTCATCAAGACCTTTGACGTCTGTCATAGGTGTAAGCTCCTTCTTAATTAATTCGTCCTTTTCTAAAACATATTTTTCGGGACTTTGTGATTTTGATTTGATATCAAGGACTATTTTTTCTTTTTCATCTACTTTGACTATTTTCTCAACATCTTTAACGAGGCTTGGTGATTTCGACTTGACATCTAGGACTGGTTTTTCCTTCTCAACTTCTTCAATCTTTTCCTTAAGATCTTTTACAGGGCTTGGTGATTTCTCTTTGTCATCAAGACCATTGACGTCTGTCGTAGGTGTAAGCTCCTTCTTCATTAATTCGTCCTTTTCTAAAACATCTTTTTCGGGACTTTGTGATTTTGATTTGATATCAAGTACTGTTTTTTCTTTTTCGTCTATTTTGACCTTTTCCTCAACATCGGTAACGGGGCTTAAAGCTTTTTCTTTTACGTCAAATTCTTTTATTTCTGCCGTAGGACTGGGCTCTTTCTTAATTGATTCGCTCTTTTCTTCAAGATCTTTAACGGGACTGAGAGATTTGGATTTGACATCAAGGACTGGTTTTTCCTTCTCATCTTCGATCTTTTCCTTAAGATCTTTTACGGGGCTTGGTGATTTTTCTTTGTCTTCAAAACCTTTGACGTCTGTCGTAGGTGTAAGCTCTTTCTTTATTGATTCGCCCGTTTTCTCAACATCTTGAACGGGGCTTGGTGATTTTGACTTGACATCTTGGACTGGTTTTTCCTTCTCATCTACTTTGACTATTTTCTCAACATCTTTAACGGGGCTTGGTGATTTTGACTTGACATCTAGGACTGGCTTTTCCTTCTCAACTTCTTCGATCTTTTCCTCAAGATCTTTTACGGCGCTTGGTGATTTCTCTTTGTCATCAAGACCTTTGACGTCTGTCGTAGGTGTAAGCTCCTTGTCAATTAATTCGTCCTTATCTAAAACATCTTTTTCGGGACTGGGAGATTTGAATTTGATATCAAGGATTGTTTTTTCTTTTTCGTCTACTTTGACCTTTTTCTTAACATCGGTAACGGGGCTTGAAGCTTTTTCTTTTACGTCAAGTCCTTTTATTTCTGCCGTAGGACTAGGCTCTTTCTTAAATGATTCGCTCTTTTCTTCAAGATCTTTAACGGGGCTTGGTGATTTCTCTTTGTCATCAAGACCTTTGACTTCTGTCGTAAGACTTGTTTCTTTTTTTATTGATTCGTCCTTTTCTAAAACATCTTTTTCGGAACTAGGTGATTTTGATTTGATAATAAGGATTGATGTTTCTTTTTCATCTACTTTGAATATTTTCTCAACATCTTTAACGGGGCTTGGTGATTTTGACTTGACACCAAGAACTGGTTTTTCCTTCTCATTTTCTTCGATCTTTTCCTTAAGATCTTTTACGGGGCTTGGTGATTTCTCTTTGTCATCAAGACCTTTGACTTCTGTCGTAAGACTTGGCTCTTTTTTTATTGATTCGTCCTTTTCTAAAACATCTTTTTCGGAACTAGGTGATTTTGATTTGATATCAAGAACTATTTTTTCTTTTTCGACTACTTTGACCTTTTCCTTAACATCGGTAACGGGGCTTGAAGCTTTTTCTTTTACGTCAAGTTCTTTCATTTCTGCCGTAGGACTGGGCTCTTTCTTAATTGATTCGCTCTTTTCTTCAAGATCTTTAACGGGACTGGGAGATTTGGATTTGACATCAAGGACTGGTTTTTCCTTCTCATCTTCTTCGATCTTTTCCTCAAGATCTTTTACGGGGCTTGGTGATGTTTCTTTGTCTTCAAAACCTTTGACGTCTGTCGTAGGTGTAAGCTCTTTCTTAATTGATTCGCCCTTGTTCTCAACATCTTTAACGGGGCTTGGTGACTTTGACTTGACATCTAGGACTGGTTTTTCCTTCTCATCTACTTTGACTAATTTCTGAACAACTTTAACGGGGCTTGGTGATTTCGACTTGACATCTAGGACTGGTTTTTCCTTCTCATCTTCTTCGATCTTTTCCTCAAGATCGTTTACAGGGCTTGATGATTTCTCTCTGTCATTAAGACCTTTGACGTCTGTCGTAGGTGTATGCTGTTTCTTAATTGATTCGCCCTTTACCTCAACATCTTTAACGAGGCTTGGTGATTTTGACTTGACATCTAGGACTGGCTTTTTCTTCTCATCTACTTCTATCTTTTCCTCAAGATCTTTTACGGGGCTTGGTGATTTCTCTTTGTCATCAAGGCTTTTGTTTTCTGTCGCAGGACTAGGCTCTTTCTTAATTGATTCGTCCTTTACATCAACATCTTTTACGGGACTAGGAGATTTTGACTTGACATCAAGGACTGGTTTTTCCCTCTCATCTTCTTCGATATTTTCCTTAAGATCTTTTACGGGGTTTGGTGATTTCTCTCTGTCATCAAGTTCTTTGACTTCTGCCGTAGGACTTGGCTCTTTTTTAATTGTTTCGGCTCTTTCTTCAACATCTTTTACGGGACTAGGTGATTTTGACTTGATATTAAGGATTAGTTTATCCTTCTCATCTTCTTTGACTTTTAATTCAAGATCTTTTACGGGGCTTGGTGATTTCTTTTTGTCTTCAAGACTTTTGACTTCTGTCGTAGGAGTAGGCTCTTTTCTAATTGATTCGCCTTTTTCTAAAACATCTTTTTCGGGACTGGGTGATTTTGACTTGACATCAAGGACTGGTTTTTCCTTCTTATCTTCTTCAATCTTTCCCTCAAGATCTTTTACGGGGCTTGGTGATTTCTCTTCAAAACCTTTATCGTCTGTCGTAGGTGTAGGCTCTTTCTTTATTGATTCGTCCTTTTCTAAAACATCTTTTTCGGAACTAGGTGATTTTGATTTGATATTAAGGACTATTTTTTCTTTTTCGTCTACTTTGACCTTTTCCTTAACATCGGTAACGGGGCTTGAAGCTTTTTCTTTTACGTCAAGTTCTTTCATTTCTGCCGTAGGACTGGGCTCTTTCTTAATTGATTCGCTCTTTTCTTCAAAATCTTCAACAGGGCTTGGTGATTTTGACTTGACATCTAGGACTGGCTTTTCCTTCTCAACTTTTTCGATCTTTTCCTCAAGATCTTTTACGGGGCTTGGTGATTTCTCTTTGTCATCAAGACCTTTGACTTCTGTCGTAAGACTTGGCTCTTTTTTTATTGATTCGTCCTTTTCCAAAACATCTTTTTCGGAACTAGGTGATTTTGATTTGATATTAAGGACTATTTTTTCTTTTTCATCTACTTTGACTATTTTCTCAACATCTTTAACGGGGCTTGGTGATTTTGACTTGACATCTAGGACTGGCTTTTCCTTCTCACCTTCTTCGATCTTTTCTTCAAGATCTTTTACGGGGCTTGGTGATTTCTCTTTGTCATCAAGACCTTTGACGTCTGTCGTAGGTGTAAGCTCCTTCTTAATTAATTCGTCCTTTTCTAAAACATCCTTTTCGGGACTTTGTGATTTTGATTTGATATCAAGGACTGTTTTTTCTTTCTCGTCAACTTTGACCTTTTCCTTAACATCGGTAACGGGGCTTGAAGCTTTTTCTTTTACGTCAAGTTCTTTCATTTCTGCCGTGGGACTAGGCTCTTTCTTAAATGATTCGCTCTTTTCTTCAAGATCTTTTACGGGGCTTGGTGATTTCTCTCTGTTAGCAAGTCCTTTGACTTCTGTCGTAGGTGTAGACTGTTTCTTAATTAATTCGCCCTTTTCCTCAACATCTTTAACGGGGCTTGGTGATTTTGACTTGACATCTAGGACTGGTTTTTCCTTCTCATCTACTTTTATCTTTTCCTCAAGATCTTTTACGGGGCTTGGTGATTTTGACTTGACATCTAGGACTGGTTTTTCCTTCTCATCTACTTCTATCTTTTCTTCAAGATCTTTATTGGGGCTTGGTGATTTCTCTTTGTCAACCAAACTTTTGACTTCTGTCGTAGAAGTAGGCTCTTTCCTAATTGTTTCGCCCTTTTCCTCAACATATTTTTCGGGACTGGGAGATTTGGATTTGACATCAAGGAATGGTTTTTCCTTCACATCTTCTTCGATCTTTTCCTCAAGATCTTTTACGGGGCTTGGCGATTTCTCTTTGTCACCAAGACCTTTGACTTCTGTCGTAAGACTTGGCTCTTTTTTTATTGATTCGTCCTTTTCTAAAACATCTTTTTCGGAACTAGGTGATTTTGATTTGATATTAAGGACTATTTTTTCTTTTTCATCTACTTTGACTATTTTCTCAACATCTTTAACGGGGCTTGGTGATTTCGACTTGAGATCTAGGACTGGCTTTTCCTTCTCAACTTCTTCAATCTTTTCCTTAAGATGTTTTACGGGGCTTGGTGATTTCTCTTTGTCATCAAGACCTTTGACGTCTGTCGTAGATGTAAGCTCCTTTTTCATTAATTCGTCCTTTTCTAAAACATCTTTTTCGGGACTTTTTGATTTTGATTTGATATCAAGTACTGTTTTTTCTTTTTCGTCTATTTTGACCTTTTCCTCAACATCGGTAACGGGGCTTGAAGCTTTTTCTTTTACGTCAAGTTCTTTCATTTCTGCCAAGGGACTAGGCTCTTTCTTAAATGATTCGCTCTTTTCTTCAACATCTTTAACGGGACTTAGTGATTTTGACTTGACATCAAGGACTGGTTTTTCTTTTTCATCTTCTTCGATCTTTTTCTCAAGATCGTTTACGGCGCTTGGTGATTTCTCTCTGTTATCAAGTCCTTTGACTTCTGTCATAGGTGTAGGCTGTTTCTTAATTGATTCGCCCTTTTCCTCGACATCTTTTACGGGACTAGGTGATTTTGACTTGACATCAAGGACTGGTTTTTCCTTCTTATCTTCTTCGATCTTTTCCTCAAGATCTTTTACGGGGCTTGGTGATTTCTCTTTGTCATCAAGACCTTTGACTTCTCTCGTAGGACTGGGCTCTTTCTTTATTGATTCGTCCTTTTCTAAGACATCTTTTTCGAAACTAGGTGATTTTGATTTGATATTAAGGATTGATGTTTCTTTTTTATCTATTTTGACTATTTCCTTAACATCTTTAACTGGGCTTGGTGATTTTTCTTTTATATCAAGTTCTTTTACTTCTTCCGAAGGGCTAGGCTCTTTCCTAATTGATTTGCTCTTTTTCCTTATATCTTGTACGAGGCTTGGTGATTTCTCTATGTCTTCAAAACCTTCGACGTCTGTTGTAGGTATATAGTCTTTATTAATTGATTCGGCCTTTTCTTCAACATCTTTTACGGGGCTTGGTGATTTTGACTTGACATCAAGGACTGGTTTTTCCTTCTCATCTTCTTCGATCTTTTCCTCAAGATCTTTTACGGGACTTGGTGATTTCTCTTTGTTATCAAGACCTTTGACTTCTGTCATAGGTGTAGGCTCTTTCTTAATTTTTTCTTTCACATCTTTTACGGGACTAGGTGATTTCTCCTTATTATCAAGACTTTTGACGTCTGTCGTAGAAGTAGATTCTTTTCTAATTGGTTCGCCCTTTTCCTCAACATCTTTTTCGGGACTGGGAGATTTGGATTTGACATCAAGGACTGGTTTTTCCTTCTCATCTTTGATCTTTTCCTCAAGATCTTTTACGGGGCTTGAAGATTTCTCTTTGTCTTCAAGACTTTTGACTTCTGTCGTAGGAGTAGGCTCTTTCTGAATTGATTTGCCCTTTTCCTCAACATCTTTTTCGGGACTGGGAGATATAGATTTGACACCAAGGACTGGTTTTGTCTTTTCATCTACTTCTATCTTTTCCTCAAGATCTTTTACGGGGCTTGGTGATTTCTCTTTGTCTTCAAAACCTTTGACGTCTGTCGTAGAAGTTGGCTCTTTTCTAATTGATTCGCCTTTTTCTAAAACATCTTTTTCGGGACTGGGTGATTTTGACTTGACATCAAGGACTGGTTTTTCCGTCTTATCTTCTTCAATCTTTCCCTCAAGATCTTTTACGGGGCTTGGTGATTTCTCTTTTTCTTCAAAATCTTTATCGTCTGTCGAAGGTGTAGGCTCTTTTTTTATTAAATCGTCCTTTTCTAAAACATCTTTTTCGGAACTAGGTGATTTTGACTTGATATCAAGGTCTGGTTTTTCTTTCTCATCTTCTTCGATCTTTTCCTCAAGATCGTTTACAGGGCTTGATGATTTCTCTCTGTCATTAAGACCTTTGACGTCTGTCGTAGGTGTATGCTGTTTCTTAATTGATTCGCCCTTTACCTCAACATCTTTAACGGGGCTTGGTGATTTTGACTTGACATCTAGAACTGGTTTTTTCTTCTCATCTACTTCTATCTTTTCCTCAAGATCTTTTTTGGAGCTTGGTGATTTCTCTTTGTCATCAAGGCCTTTGTTTTCTGTCGCAGGACTAGGCTCTTTCTTAATTGATTCGTCCTTTACATCAACATCTTTTTCCGGACTAGGAGATATAGATTTGACACCAAGAACTGGTTTTGTCTTGTCATCTACTTTGATCTTTTCCTCAAGATCTTTTACGGGGCTTGGTGATTTCTCTTTGTCTTCAAAACCATTGACGTCTGTCGTAGGTGTAGGCTCTTTCCAAATTGATTCGCCCTTTTCATCAACATCTTTTACGGGACTAGGAGATTTTGACTTGACATCAAGAACTGGTTTTTCCGTCTCATCTTCTTCGATATTTTCCTTAAGATCTTTTACGGGGCTTGGTGATTTCTCTCTGTCATCAAGTTCTTTGACTTCTGCCGTAGGACTTGGCTCTTTACTAATTGATTCGGCTCTTTCTTCAACATCTTTTACGGGACTAGGTGATTTTGACTTGATATTAAGGACTAGTTTATCCTTCTCATCTTCTTTGACTTTTAATTCAAGATCTTTTACGGGGCTTGGTGATTTCTCTTTGTCTTCAAGACTTTTGACTTCTGTCGTAGGAGTAGGCTCTTTCTGAATTGATTTGCCCTTTTCCTCAACATCTTTTTCGGGACTGGGAGATATAGATTTGACACCAAGGACTGATTTTGTCTTTTCATCTACTTCTATCTTTTCCTCAAGATCTTTTACGGGGCTTGGTGATTTCTCTTTGTCTTCAAAACCTTTGACGTCTGTCGTAGAAGTTGGATCTTTTCTAATTGATTCGCCTTTTTCTAAAACATCTTTTTCGGGACTGGGTGATTTTGACTTGACATCAAGGACTGGTTTTTCCTTCTTATCTTTTTCAATCTTTCTCTCAAGATCTTTTACGGGGCTTGGTGATTTCTCTTTTTCTTCAAAACCTTTATCGTCTGTCGTAGGTGTAGGCTCTTTCTTTATTGATTCGTCCTTTTCTAAGACATCTTTTTCGGAACTAGGTGATTTTGACTTGATATCAAGGACTATTTTTTCTTTTTCATCTACTTTGACTATTTTCTCGACTTCTTTAACGGGGCTTAGTGATTTTGACTTGATATCAAGGACTATTTTTTCTTTTTCATCTACTTCGACTATTTTCTCAACTTCTTTAACGGGGCTTGGTGATTTCTCTTTTACATTAAGTTCTTTTTCTTCTGCCGTAGAAATAGGCTCTTTCCTAATTATTTTGCTCTTTTCTTCTAGATCTTTTACGGGGCTTGGTGATTTCTCTATGTCTTCAAAACCTTCGATGTCTATCGTAGGTATATGTTCTTTCTTAATTGATTCGGCCTTTTCCTCAACATCTTTTACGGGACTGGGAGATTTGAATTTGACATCAAGGACTGGTTTTTCCTTCTTATCTTCTTCGATCTTTTCCTCAAGATTTTTTACGGGGCTTGAAGATTTCTCTCTGTCATCAAGACCTTTGACTTCTGCCGTAGGACTTGGCTCTGTATTCATTGATTCGGCTCTTTCTTCAACATCTTTTACGGGACTAGGTGATTTTGACTTGATATTAAGGACTAGTTTATCCTTCTCATCTTCTTTGACTTTTAATTCAAGATCTTTTACGGGGCTTGGTGATTTCTCTTTGTCTTCAAGACTTTTGACTTCTGTCGTAGGAGTAGGCTCTTTCTGAATTGATTTGCCTTTTTCCTCAACATCTTTTTCGGGACTGGGAGATATAGATTTGACACCAAGGACTGGTTTTGTCTTGTCATCTACTTCGATCTTTTCCTTAAGATCTTTTACGGGGCTTGGTGATTTCTCTTTTTCTTCAAAACCTTTGACGTCTGTCGTAGGTGTAAGCTCTTTCTTAATTGATTCGCCCGTTTCCTCAACATCTTTTTCGGGACTGGGAGATTTGGATTTGACATCAAGGACTGGTTTTTCCTTCTTATCTTCTTCGATCTTTTCCTCAAGATCTTTTACGGGGCTTGGTGATTTCTCTTTGTCATCAAGACCTTTGACTTCTCTCGTAGGACTGGGCTCTTTCTTTATTGATTCGTCCTTTTCTAAGACATCTTTTTCGGAACTAGGTGATTTTGACTTGATATCAAGGACAATTTTTTCTTTTTCATCTACTTCGACTATTTTCTCAACTTCTTTAACGGGGCTTGGTGATTTCTCTTTTACTTTAAGTTCTTTTTCTTCTGCCGTAGAACTAGGCTCTTTCCTAATTATTTCGCTCTTTTCTTCAAGATCTTTTACGGGGCTTGGTGATTTCTCTATGTCTTCAAAACCATTGACGTCTGTCGTAGGTGTAGGCTCTTTCCTAATTGATTCTTCCTTTTCATCAACATCTTTTACGGGACTAAGTGATTTTGATTTGACATCAAGGACTGGTTTTTCCTTCTCATCTTCTTCGATCTTTTCCTCAAGATCTTTTACGGGGCTTGGTGATTTCTCTTTGTCATCAAGACCTTTGACTTCTCTCGTAGGACTGGGCTCTTTCTTTATTGATTCGTCCTTTTCTAAGACATCTTTTTCGAAACTAGGTGATTTTGACTTGATATCAAGGACTATTTTGTCTTTTTCATCTACTTTGACTATTTTCTTAACATCTTTAACGGGGCCTGGTAATTTTTCTTTGTCTTCAAGACTTTTAACTTCTGTCGTAGGAGTAGGTGCTTTCTGAATTGATTTGCCCTTTTCCTCAACATCTTTTTCGGGACTGGGAGATATAGATTTGACACCAAGGACTGGTTTTGTCTTGTTATCTTCTTCGATCTTTTCCTCTAGATCTTTTACGGGGCTTGGTGATTTCTCTTTGTCATCAAGACCTCTCACTTCTGCAGTAGGACTAGGCTCTTTCTTAATTGATTTGCTCTTTTCTTCAAGATCTTTATTGGGGCTTGGTGATTTCTCTTTGTCAACAAAACTTTTGACTTCTGTCGTAGAAGTAGGCTCTTTCTTAAAAGATTCGCCCTTTTCCTCAACATATTTTTCGGGACTGGGAGATTTGGATTTGACATCAAGGACTGGTTTTTCCTTCTCATCTTCTTCGATCTTTTCCTCAAGATCTTTTACGGGGCTTGGTGATTTCTCTTTGTCATCAAGACCTTTGACTTCTGTCGTAAGACTTGGCTCTTTTTTTATTGATTCGTCCTTTTCCAAAACATCTTTTTCGGAACTAGGTGATTTTGATTTGATATTAAGGATTGATGTTTCTTTTTCACCTACTTTGACTATTTTTTCAACATCTTTAACGGGACTTTGTGATTTTGATTTGATATCAAGGACTGTTTTTTCTTTTTCGTCAACTTTGACCTTTTCCCTAACATCGGTAACGGGGCTTGAAGCTTTTTCTTTTACGTCAAGTCCTTTCATTTCTGCCGTAGGACTAGGCTCTTTCTTAAATGATTCGCTCTTTTCTTCAAGATTTTTAACGGGACTGGGAGATTTGGATTTGACATCAAGGACTGGTTTTTTCTTCTTATCTTCTTCGATCTTTTCCTCGAGATCTTTTACGGGGCTTGGTGATTTCTCTATGTCTTCAAAACCTTCGATGTCTATCGTAGGTATATGTTCTTTCTTAATTGATTCGGCCTTTTCCTCAACATCTTTTACGGGACTGGGAGATTTGAATTTGACATCAAGGACTGGTTTTTCCTTCTTATCTTCTTCGATCTTTTCCTCGAGATCTTTTACGGGGCTTGGTGATTTCTCTTTGTCATCAAGACCTTTGACTTCTGCCGTAGGACTAGGCTCTTTCTTTATTGATTTGTTCTTTTCCAAAACATCTTTTTCGGGACTGGGTGATTTTGACTTGACATTAAGGACTAGTTTTTCCTTTTCATCATCTATGACCTTTTCTTCTTTTTCTTTCCTAATTGATTCGCTCTTTTCGCCAATATCTTTTACGGGGCTTGGTGACTTTTCTTTGTCATCAATCGTAGGAGTTGGCTTTTTCTTAATTGAGTCTCCCTTTTCTAAAACATCTTTTTTAGGACTGGGAGATTTTAATTTGACTTCAAATACTGTCATTTCCTTTACATGACTTGACTCTTTTTTACGTGGATCGGCCTTTTTGTCATCATCTCTTACGGGACTAGACTCTTTCTTAGTTGACATATCTGTATCTAAAGCATATTTTTCGGAACTCGGTGATTTCTGTGTATCTATTGGTTCGTTGAGTACTATCTTTTCCTTTAAAGTTTCATGTTTTGTTTTCGTTTTGCTTTGTTGCGTGGATTTCTCATTAATGTTTATTTTAATTGACTGGTCAGATAGCTTTTTAATGGAACTTGAATTTTCTTCTAATTGCTCTACAGTTACTTCTTTTTGGCTCATTTGTTGTAATGGACTAGTAGTTGTCATAACGGATCCAAAAGTATCTAATTCTGTTAAAAGTTGTTTTGATGTTATTACTACTTTTGCTAATTTGTGATTTTCAGAACAATTCATTCTCAAATTGTAATCTGAGATAAAAATTGTAATGACGTTTACCACAGTAGGTACTACAGATAAAAATATTTCTTTAGATGTATTTATTGTTTTCTTTTCCTTAAATTTAGTTTTTGATCTCGTTGTCAATATTTCCTTTACCGTCAGGATGTTTCGAATTTCTTTTAAGTATTCATTATTAAATAATATATTTGATTCTTCTTTGTGTTCTTCAAATGATTTGCTTTCGAGTACATTAAAATCGACAAGCTCATTTATTTCAAACTCATTTTCTTCACTTACATCGGTCAGCATTGTGCTACCGTTTATTTCACTGCATGTCGTTCCATCAGGATAATAATTTGTAGTAGTAATTAAAGTTACAATTTGTAGTTTTTGTATAACATTCTTTTTATCACTATATTTAGTTTTTATTATTTTAGTAACAATAACTCTTTTTATAAGCGTATCATTTTCAAGATACTCGTCTTCTTTTTCTGAAGTTGTTTCTTCTGGATCTTCATAAACATAATAATTCTTGAGAATAGTTTGAACTTCTTCGTCAAAGGATAACAATTTAATCATATTCTTTTCATATTTTGTTAATTCTTTATGAATTGTATCCAACGGGCGTGGCACTTTTATGTCCTGGTTTTTAATGCTTTCAGAAGTTTTGTCACTTTTTCTTGTAAATAATCCCTTTGCTTTGTTTAATTTCTCGTCAAATTTATTCATAAAACTTCCAATTACAGATTTACTCTCTTTTTTATATTCCTTTGTGTCAAGCTTATCGATGGCGGAATCTACGTTATCAACACTTTTATCAATAATTTTATGCGTATCAATTTCTTTTTTTTGTCCTGAGGGTTTTTTCTTTTCAACAAAACTCTCAGTTATTAATAAATCACTTTTAGGTTTCATTAAATTTGTATCTTTACTGGTGATATTATCTTCATCACAAATGTCTCCGATATCCCTAGAGCTGCTTCCTAAATCTGTAGAAATATCTTTCTTTTTTAACTCAGTCAATTTTTCTTCAAGTTTTTCTAAAGTTTTAGCTGACTCTAACGTTATGCTTATACGCTTTTCAGGGAATACTTTCTCTTCACCTAATATGGATTTTGTTATAGGTTTTTTATCTCTATTATCGAACTCGACAATGTCAGAGTCAATTTTCTTAGTTTCGCTTAAGACAGTCTTTTCTGAAGTGTCACTTATGTCTTCTGACGTCAAAGATTTTACAGGAGAAACTTCTTTTTGGTATTTTTGGCCACTGTCGTCAATCAAGGATATTTCAGTGTGCCTATAATCCTCGTGAGGCTCTTCTGCTTCTTTAGACGTACTCAAAATCACTTTTTGTTCACTGTTCAAAATATCTTGTGTTATATTACTATCATTAGATTTTGACGTGATCTTTTCCGGTGATTTCAATAATATTGGCGATTTTTCTGCAATTAATTGATCTAAAGTTTTTTCCGATTTTAATACTTCAGCAACATCCGCCACTATTTTTTCTACTGCTTTTGGACTAATTGGTGATTTTTCAAGATTTTCTAGTGTTTTTGCTTCTTCAATTTCTTTTTCTACGTCTTCTGGTATTGAAGGTATTTTTTCAGGCATATGAACATCTTCCATAACAATTATATCACCTTTTACTGGGGAGTCAATGGTTGTTATATGTGTTTCTCGTAGCTTTTCTGTAAATGGTGTAAAATTGTATTGAGAATCGTCATATTCTTTTACAGGTTCTAGTGGTTTCAAAGATTTTTCATGTCTTGGTTGCTCATGTAACATGGGCGACTCAGGAGCAGATCCTGGTGTTACAGTTACTAGTTCAGGATGGGAAGGACGTTGAGTAGTACTAACAACTACATCTTCTTGTATTGTTTTAGCAGTATCGAATGGAATATCAGATTTTATTGATAACGCTAAATCTTTGGGTACTCTTATACTACCTTCAATTTTACGTTTTGTACTTTCTTCACTAACTGGAGTTTTCTTTTCAACATAGGTTCTATAATCAACTTCTTCATGTAGGGGTAAGTCAGCAACTTCATCGGGGGTTTTAACTATATCCCTAATAAGAGTTTGATGGGCCCCTAATTTTAATTTTTTTTCAAAACCAGTTGGCTTCTGTAAATCTGAAATATTTTTTTCTAATATTGTTTCTTTAGTTTGTTCTTTTACATATTTCTCTTCAATAAGTTGGTCTTCTTTAATGTCATCTAATGTTATTCTTTCATCATCTGGAAGAGTTGGTGCAGTTGTAGCACCTGATTCAACTGTAGTTGATACTTTCTCATCAGGCTGTGATTCTTGTTTAATGTTTTCCAAAGAATCTTTAGGCTTGATTACGCTTTTACTGTCAGAAGTCTTTTTTTCACTACTTATATCTTGCTTTTCTTCGACACTTATAGAATGCTCTTTAGATTCAGGTTGTTTTTCTAGATCAGGAATTAGAACTTTACGTTCATCTTGTATATCTATAACTTTATCATATATTTTTTTCTTTTCGGATTCCTCTTTATCTTTAAGGTGTTTTTGTAACTCATGTTCTTTTTCACCACCAGATTCCTCTGTATATTGTTCTACTTCTTCTTTTTCTATGATTAAATATTCTTCTTCAAATTCACTATCTATTACAACTTCCCTTTTTGTGTCATCGAGTAAACAAGTAATTTTTTCAATATCTGACCTCCCAACAAACTCAACCTTTTCTTCAGTTTCGCTATCTCTATTAAAAACAGCTTCTATTTCTCTCACGATTTCTTGTTCCTCTCTTTCATCTAATTCCTGTTGTTTCATGTCATCAAAAGATTTAGAAGTATCCTCATCAGACTTTTTGGCATCTTTTAAAATATCCTCATAATTGACCCGTTGCAGCCCACTTAGCTTAGAAGTATCAACTTTCAATGATTTTATATTTTTGGATGGACTTTTAGCTACTTTTAATCCCTTTACTGGAGAAGCTACTGGTCTTGGTCGCCTAGATATTGATTCACGTTTAGGTTTAGACTCTTTCTTTTCAGCTACTTTTATTCCTATATCTCGTTTTGGAGAAGCCTGTTTGTACTTTGACTCCATGACCCGCCGGTTGCTAGCTTCTTTTACACTCTTTGCGGGGGTGCTTCCTGGACTAATTTTTCTAGTTTTTTGTTTAAACTTATCTTTTGTTACGTTTGGATGACCTTTAACGTCAAATACTTTCTTCGGTGTTGTGGGCGGTGACTTTTTGTCATCGCCGATCGCTTTCTTATCTAATGCCGTCGTTGATTTTTTATCTGTAGACTTTTGTACTCTGTTACTTAATTTAGTTTTTGATCCCAAAGACGATATTTCATGTTTGGTTTTTTCTGTTTTTTTTCTTACTTCTGATTTCAGCTTATTATCTATTTCATGTTTTTTTGTTTCTAATTTGTAAGGGACGTCCTTGGTATCATCAGTCTTATCTGATCGTTTCGGTTTCTTTTCGTAAGATTTTTCTTTTTTCTTGACATCTTTTTTCTTATATGGGCCATCTATAACTGTATTGTCATATTGTGCTATTTTATCCTCTAATTTTGTATCTGTCTTTGCGACAATTGCGTCGTGTAGAACATTTTCAATCTGTTTATCTCCCTCTTCAACTAGCTCACTAATTAACTTATTATCTATAATATTTTTGGAAACTGCATCATCTTTAAATTTATTAAATTTGGAATTCTGTGCGTCGGAATCTGCAGTTCTTTCATCTTTCCTCTCACTTATAACTTTGCTTGTCTTTGATGTGACTGTCTTTGTGGTTTTTGTTGGCATAACAGTCGCAGTCATTTTTGTCGCAGCCATGGTCGACGCAGACATTAATTGTCGACCGGTATACGTAGGGTGTTGAAGAAATTCGAGGTGTCTGAGCTTCTCTAAGCCCTCAAATATTTTATGCTGAGGCGTGGAGCCGGGAAACATAATTCGTGTAATGTTATCATCTGGACTGGCCGGCCGCCACACTAATAAAGCACATATTGATACTAAGTTAGGAATTGGAAAACTAAAAGGTCCGGAGGTATTAGCGCCTTCAAAAAGTTTTTGTTCACTACTGTGCCATCGTTTTAAAAATTCACGAACGTATTTTGAATCTTTGGACGGATTTAAAACATACATATCCAGCGTACCTGCAATAAAACAAAATTGATCTTGTTATCTGTATCTACTCATGGAATATTCTTACATATTAAGAGTAATAAAAGTTTGACGCACTATTAATATGTATGTGCGTTTAATTTTCGCCATAATATCACCTGTTTATTCAAAAAATGGTTTATTAGGTTATTTAATTAAAATTATTTGACGAGACATTCGTTGGTAAATAGATGGTAAATATTTTATAAGACGTAACGTTTGAGAGTATCGGATAAACTGGTTATCGAGTTAGAAAACTAAGGCTTTAACAAAAAAGTAATTGTATGGTTATGACTACCGTGTCCAACTTTATGGTACAAGTTGATAGGTTCTGGGCTTCTATAACAGTGTTGTGGTTTGAGATTGATGTGTCTTAAATCCGCCATCATGTCAGATCCTGCTTCCAACAATGATACGAGCAGGGGATCAAAATCCTTGTCTCCATCGGGACTTGATATACACCGCCGTTCCTAGAAACAGTAGATAAAATAATCAACAAAAGTAGGTAGAATAATCGAAAAAAAAAGATTTAATCCCTAGAATGTTTAATAATAGTTAATGTCGGTGAATTAATTTTTGAAAAGTCATCCCTGTTAAAGATGCCATGGTTCATGCAAAACTGGTGTTAACATAAGTTTAAAAACACATTGAAAAAAGGGGGCTAAGACGCAACCTAAATTTCTCTACCAATCGGCCTAAATTATCACAGTCTAAATTTACCGAAATTACGAATAGTTATTATTACATCCTTTTTATTACATACCACACAACGTTTTAAGTTTATTGTTTTCTTTTTTCCAGCAAATCACAAAAAAATTACAAAGCGTAATAATTAATTAATATAAATAAATATAACTAAGCTAAAGGCTACCCAGCTTGTCGTAAGCAGACATACCACGACACCAACTTTGCTGTAATCTATTTAAAAATGTATAATAAGTAATATATATAATTACCTCCAAATTGCAGAAAAAATGTCCAATTTGTGGGTAGACATTTGCAGTGGCTTTCCTGTGGAGCACAGCGGCCATACCGGACATGGAACAGTTGTTCAGCCTCGTGAACAGTACTGCGTCCAGTCTGTCCAAGTGCCGGGCGAAGTCCCACCAGCAGGCTTTTCGTGAGAAGCCACCATCCACTGAAATCATCATTATAAAATCTTATACTTATTATCATTTTCCAATCATTTTAAATCAATGATATTTACTACACCATCATTAAGTGAACCAAAACTGTTACCATTATTAACCCATTCAAAAAATTTTGGAATATAAAAAACGCATTATGTTATTGACTTTAAAAAAAGAACTTAAAAAAAAGACGAATCTTCACATTCTTACACCTTACACCACATTTAAAATAACTCAATAATATAATTATGCAATACCCAAAGTCATATGTTAAAAGCGCATTTCGTTAGTTATATGGCTGAAATATTTCTCTTTCAATCAATTAAACTCCATATAAGTCTGACCTCTAGTATCACAAAAAAAAAACAACAAAATTTAATCCTACTTGAATGATTTGACATGTGTCCATGCAAATAACTTCTCAATATAATTTTCTCTATAATTATAATTCTCACTTAGCACATACCGAGCATATTGAATCCGTTTATCCCAAAGAGAGCAGCGTCTCCTTGGCCTCCCGGGAAGACGTATAGAGTGGGGTGGCTGAAACGGATGTTTCCGACCACGTCGCTTGGAACCAGCAGCTGTTCCAGGCTAGCTGGAACTATGTACGGTTCCAAGTACGCTGGAACATTATTAGGGTTAAATTAATAAACATTCAACTTCGTTGCACCTCTACTTCTGATACAAAAAGGTCACTTCGTCTGTCTGTCCATCACCTGGCTAAATCTAAACAACCGTGCTAGCCGGTGATATGACTGTCAGAAATTAACTTAACGCTATATATAACTATATAACGTTCTGTTGCGAGACCAACTCATACGATTTGGTATCATAAAACTTTAACAAACTTAAAATAGCAAATATAAACATGAGATTGTTAGCAGTAGTATAAACATCACAATTACTGTCAATTTTATTTGTGGTACTAACTTAAAATACGTAATAAAAACACTATAGCCAGTATTTAATATTGTGTAAAACAGTTATGGACCGACACAACATGTAAAGTTAAACACAGACAGAGTGAAGAATAAATTGTATATAATAGAAGACATTTGGAACTATAGGTGATATACTGAGATATGCAATAATATAACTAATTATGCCCACTTAGGGATTAAATACAGCATACATTAAAATGAAGCATAGATAGCAAGGTGCAAAGTTTACTGGGTGGGTCCAGTATATCAAATAAAATACAATGTTCTATTATAAATTGACTACATGTCAGTTAGTTGTGTACAGGTTATTGAAATATAAATCGATTATAAATTGAAAAATATTTACGACACGGGCAGGACTTGAACATTGGCATCCACATTCCGTGCTCTAATCTAAAACTTAAGCTACCGTGTCCTACACGTCATCGTTGAATTTTTTCAACCTCTCGCGCAATGAAACCGTAGATTATTGAAATTCGTATATGTAATTTCGTTGAATCCAGTAAATTAATTGAGCTGACATCGGTAACAAGTGGAGCGGAAGCGAAGCCAGGTCACTGATTGCGAAGCCTTAGATGCAGGAAGGCCAGATCTAGGTCAATTACTAGGCTGGAGAACGAACAGCTCCGATGGTAACTTCATTTGGTAACGCCGTGTCGATATATTTCTGGTGCGAGCCTTGGAAATTTGATTTCTAGAGTTTTAAAAATAAAACTGAGGGACGCAAAATGTGCTATTGATTATGTTACCGCATATGTTCCGAGAACATATTCGGTGAAATCGAGACGTTTAAACATAGATTTAAGTACTGTCTATAGTTTAAAAATACACATTAACGGCTATATATATTAGTTAAACTTATTATAACTACGTCGGGCTTAAGTTTAAGTGTTTTATTTTAAAAAAATCGGGAATTGAACTCAGGACGTCGTGATGTGAACATTAGTGTCTTAACCACTAAGAGGCAGTGATGTCAACGAAGATCTCTTTACAATTAGGTTATTTAAACATAAGAACGAAATACGTTGATAACACAACAAAGCAACGTCAGTTATAAATTTGCAATAACGACAAAGTTTAAATTATTTACAAACTCCAATCGTGTCGTCGAGTAAATTGAGAGAGAAATGTAACTTGTTTAATTATTATATGAGTGTGGAACAAGTTATAAGCGTTTTACGGTAAACTAATAAAACAGTGAATTCCCGTGTGTCTGAAGCTTTTAACTTTCGAATTTCAAAAGTTACGTTATGTAGTTGTAGTTTGATACAATTTTGTTACAGGTATATAGTAAATTATAGAAGTTAATTATATAATTTCAACAAATTATACGCAACGAAAAATCTTATAATTTTAAATGACTTGTCATTTATTACGTACGGTAAAGTTTTGTACTTTTGTAATAGTTTCTACTACTTTCGTAAAAGTTATTATCGCGTTTATTTTATTGCTTATACCACTGACTAAGTTGTCAACGTATTAAACGATTTGCAAATACGAAGCGTTGTGTTAAGTAATTTGACGTACATGTGTCATTTATGAATATTATATTTTTTAAGCTGAAGAGTCTCTCATTAGTAGGGAAAAATTTAAAAATAAGAATTATCATTATTAAAATTATTACTTAATGATTATTAAGTAAACAATTTAAATGATTGGTTTAGAATTGAAATAGTTATCATGTGAAAATAATAATTGAGTAGGTAAAAAACCTAAAAAGTACCGTACGCCGTAATTTCAAATAAAACTTATATGGCTTTTATTTACTACGAAGTCATTAATTACGTACAATTTTTAATTTTTGCTACACCGTATACGGGCCTCGATTGTTCGCTAAGACGGAACGGGCGATACAGAGAGCGCAAAATGCATGTGCCCGGTTTTGCTTTGGGATACCTAGGCGAGCCCCCTATGTCTCCCCCTATCTTAACAAATACAAACTTTTAAAAATGAAGGGAAGGCGGGAAATGCATCTAGCGGGGCTTACCTGGTGTCCAAATAGAAACCTCCTTACCTCTACAATCAATTGGAATGGACAGAGACTTCACACAACCTTTATACAAGAAGCCGAACGCAAGGAATTTTAGTTATTCCCAAACACAGGACTTCTAATTTCCAAGGAGGATTCGAACATGCCGCATCAAAAATTTGGAACGACCTGCCTCCGCCTCTTAGAACTGGTTCTAAGTTTATTTTGTAATTATTACCCTGAGACTCGACTCCAGGACCTCTCGTATCTAACACAATGCCAGACAACACGTTTAACCATTTGGCTATAGAGGCGATAAACAAATTACTGTACTAAATCAGCTTCGATTGTTTTTTGAATTGACTAATTGATGTCTTACGATGACGTGTATGAGAAATATGAATCAACCATTTCAAGATTACACGAACTTGTTGTTCGTCAGAAATAGATGTGTACAATTATAGCGAGTCTCAGTAAATGCCTAATGCCTTGGGCTCAATTGTGCCATTCAGATGTAAATAGAGAGCGTTCGCAATTTGCCCGCCTTTCAGCAAATATCAAATGACTTCAGTGTCTATCAAGTACGTCTGCGTAAGATATTTGGTATGCTTTGTCTATTGAATCACGCATGAAATATCAACGTCTCGTGTAGACTTACCAACAAATAGTAAATTCAAAAGCACACTTAAGAATTTCAGTGATAGAGAGCTATAGAGTTAAAAACATCAGGCCGTAGTTAAAATAATTTTCAAGGAAGTTAAAGTATCTTATTTGAAAGCGTAAAAGCTTTTTCAAAATTAACATAATTTAAATAGTTCTTAATGCCTTTTGTATCGCTTTCATAGACTAATGGTTGGTGTTGTTTAGGATTGCGTTAAGCACGAGATGTTCTGGGTGACTCATTTATCAATCAATAAACTTCGATCGGACAGGGCACAAAAGTCTGATTAATGAACATGTCAGTAAACCTTTTATAGTAAACGAGATTACAACTACTATGTGGTCTTACGATTTAAAAGCATTGTTTTAGAATAGCTTACAATGTCATTAGAGACCACAGTCGTTGTTGGAAGTAGTTGGAAGTTGTTGCATTAGTAACGGACGTTTGGAAATTTCTCCAAGATATTCTTACCAAGATACCTTTACGGTGTTTAGAATGAGTTACTTCATGCCTTGAAGAGCATACAGAGCTCATTGTCAACGGACTCATTAGTAGCGATCTGTTGCTAATAATCGACGCATCGTGGGTCCAGTCCACCGGACCCAAGATTTTTCTAGTCAATTTATAATTTTTCTGAAAGATGTTGGATTTCGTCTGGATATTTAATGGGTGGTAGGAATATCGAAAATCCATCCGAGTCACGAATCACAGTGTGTGTGAGTGTGGCTGACCACATATTTAAAAGCCGTCTAGTTTAACGGCGTTTCGGTTAAACTAGACGGCTTTCCGAATATCCAAAGCCAAAATAGGCCGACAGCGGATCTTGTATAGATATGGCTGCGGTGTTTCACCAACCATCAAGTAAACTCCATGTTTGTCTGTTCTACTCTATCTTAACAAAAAGCTTCCAATTCGATGTCACACCAAAACCCCACAATCAAACAACGTAGTGGGCCTTCACAACCTCTCGTATGTGAGAGGATACCTGTGGAACATAGGTTAAAACAAAAGAACGCTCACTTCTTTTGTTTCCGTCACTCACCAATAAAATCCTTGATGGCTGGCGAGCCCGAGTCTAGTATATCGTTGGGGTTGACGCGAATCTTGCAATGTTTGACGAAGGGCATATCCGGGAGTTTGGCCCATTCGCCGCCGGCGGCCGAGCAGTGAATATCGATCGAGATCGAGTTTTCGTAAGCGCGAATCACGCGCTGAACTTCATTTTCTTGGTAGGCGTCTGCGAAGTCCGCCAATGAGAATGTACCGTCCTGGAATGGAAGAAAAAACAGTTCAATCCTAAGATATATTTTTAATTGCATTCAAAACGCATTTTTTTTACATGCAATTATCTATAGTCTTTACTAATATTATAAAGCTGAATAGTTTGTATGAAAATATTATTTTTGTTAATAAAACCATTGATGGTTATAAAACAATACGATGCGACCAATAGAAGCGAATAAACTGAAAAAATCGGGTCAAATTATCGTCTTCAAAGATGTCCGTTGCGTACGTTACGAAAAGCGTTTAAGTTACCCAAAAACATAAGAAATATTTTTTCTTTTAGTAATAAAAAATGAGCCTTGTGTGCATATATCTAACATTATTTTTCCCTATGTCAAAATCGTTTCTATAAGGTAAATTCTTGATTAGTGAACACGTAAGTAAGTTCAAGTAGGTAAATATAATTTTTACTCTTAATTACAAGAGCGTTAACGAGCGGGCGCCTCGTTTACGTAAAATACGATATTCCGAAGCGTTATTAAAAAACTAATTAAGCGGAGCAAACACATCGCAAAGGCATAATTAAAACTGTCACAGTCCACAGCTTGAGGTAGGTTAAACGGATATTAGACTTTCATTTCAATTTTCATGGCGTTTCACAAATTAATGCTCTCCTTGTCAAGTCTTTTCTAAGTGCTCGGATTTTGCTTTCATTCACTTTAATTGGAAGAAACAAGATCACATCGCGTTGTGTTTATTTAAGGGTAATAACTACGAAGTACTTCGTAATAAGAAACAAAGGAAGATTTAAAAAAAACAAAGACATTTGATTAAAACATCTATATATGTATACTAACATATAAAGCTGTTTATTTGTTTGAACGCGGAATTACGGGTTTGAATTGAAAATTTATAGGAGCGAAGATACAGCGGAAAATGTGAACTAAACGGGGGAAATTATTCACAATATGGGCTACCGAGGTATACACTGCAATAGCGGTTCAAGATACCCAAAATATATATAAAATAATGATTCCGCTTAAAATGATCTATAAAAAAGTCCGCGACGCTATATAGATTATCCCGCAAGAACGACGGAAGATTACAAAAACTTCCATTTTATATTCTTCACCTAAATTAAATCTTTTTCTCTGTGCCATTAGTAGCGGTAGAAATGTTTAATACGGCATGAAAATGCTCCCATTTCTATGTCAAGTCACGTATTTAAAGTAACACACGTCTCTCTTTAAAAGCGAACTTTTCAATTTTAAATACGAACGCTCCAGGCTTAATTGCAGAATTTCTCTCCATAATTTAACTCGAATTTCCAACAATTCATTATACCGAGTTGCATTAATTCAAACTATTGTTGTATTTAGAGCATTTGCATTTATATTGGTTTTCGATTTGAATTCTCACTCTACATTTGTTTGTTTGAAACTGCATTAATGGTTGTTTGAATTTCAAAAGTTTTCGTGGAATTATGGACAGCTTCGAGTTTCTTTTTCCACTTTCTTTAACTTCCATCATTTGGATTAATATCTTTACTGATATTTACGATTCTTCAAAATGTACTATAGTTATATACTAACTTGTTTTTATTGCAAACTACCTGGTGCCCGCGACTTCGTCTACGTAGGATTAGGATTACGTAGTATCGCGCATTTAAACCAAATGATATCTATCATATCATACACTACATAATTATGTGTAACTAACGTTTATGGCAGCGCTTGCCAGAATAGCTCGCAGAATGGTAGGTTTTTGGACAGGTCACACAATATCTTTATAAATTGTAGCCTATGTGTTATTCTGATGTTTAAGCTATATTATTGGAAAAAATAATTGAAATCTATTTTGTAGTTTTTGCGTGAAAGAGTATTAAACATCCATTCACTCATGCAAACTTTCACGTTTATAATATTAGTAGGATGCGCGCTTTAAAGAGCCGATAACAAACATATTCTTACCTATGCCATTACTTAACTCTTAAATAATCTTTCTTAATCAAATTTAAAATATAAAGAAAGTAAGTAAAGTAATAAATAATAACTGACCTACACCAAAAGATGGCTGACTTTGAAATGTCATTCTCAGTAATAAATTAGAGACGGAGTTTTTGTAAAGCGAGGTAGACAAGGGCGCTTCAGATAAAAGACCTATTGAATATAATGGAGTCTGGAAAAGCTATCAAAGGCAGAAATCGCTAGATTTATATTTTCCGAGAACGTCGAACGCTTTGACATGATTTTGCAACGATATTATGAGCTGGTAAGATGGAACGGATTATTGGAGAAACCTTTTTTTGATAAATCTTTTTTGGAAATGATCGGTATATTTTAGCTGTTACGTATAGTATTTTCAAGGACTGTAACGTTATTGGATTACACCAAGTAGGGTTTTATTGAATACGTTATATTGACATTATTTATAGCTATAATTTTAACGTAATACTAGCTGTGCCTGCGTATCGTCTGCGTATAATTTTTTGTTTGTGTTTAAATGTTGATTAATTATTATGTTGATGATTTACTCTAACAAATAAATAGTAATAATACATTAATTTCATTATCATAACAACGGTTCCTGTAAGTTAATTTAAAAACATATACATATACTGTCGTGGACATATGTTATATCGTTTAAAGAGAATACTTGTGAGCTAAAATGGTTAAAGATACCTAAAAAAAATGTATAAAAGAATGATTCCTCCTAAAATGATCTACATAAATGTCTGCGACAGTATATTTTTTAAGATTAACTTGCAAAGACGACGGGACGCGATCGACAGAGTGGACAATAGCTTAAATCCATGAAGAGGAGGTTTGCAAAAACAACTAACGCTAACACAGCTAGTAATAATAATATTATTAAGTTTACCCACCTGCATAATCCAAGAGCCGTTACCCGCGAAGGTGTATCCGGCATGGAGTAAATGTCTGTGCCGAGTGAAAGAGCTGAGCAAGTTCCTCATACACTGCATCAGCGTATTCATCTGTGGGTGGATCAGGATCTCCGTCACCAGGTTTTCCGAAGCATACTGGATCAATCGCTCGCCTGAAACAGTTCATTTTGTTAGACACTGGCTTATAATTTGAAATAATTACGTCTCAGGCAGGCCTTGAACCGGCATACACAGCGTTCCGTGCTGTTGCTCTAACCGATTTAGCGTGTCCTACATACATGCAGCTCTCGAGCAATGTAATTTCTACCTTAACACTTGCGTATTAAGTAGTCGTATTTTTTTTTCAATTTATAATTGTTTTTTCATTTATAGTGCAATCGTGTGCAACAACAAATTGTGTTAAATTTTTTTTTAAATATTATCAATACTAACAATAAAAAACTCAACAGGGTAGAGTATTTCTTTTAGAACTACCCTCATATCACAAAGCAAGTATTTGCAATTTAAATTAAAATATATATTTCTTTCTTTGTAAGATTATTAAAATGCAAGGTTTTATTCGTAAAACCCAAGCGCTACTCGGAAATTATATATATCTCGCTGCAAAAGCTAAATTTCAGTTTTAAAATTTGTAGAGGCAAGTTTCAAAGGTATTTTCCCCACAGACTTACGAAATAAGAAAAGAGCGAACATTTTTCAGTAATACGTGTTTTGCAACACTTGAGCGTGTCTGAAAATGTCATAAAGGTTTTGTAGAGAACTCTACACAGCTACGACTGCCCTGTCGCTATATAACGGGTAATTTATTTTTAACTTGCACAAAGGGATTTGAATTTAATTTTATTCTTTATTGTTTCTATGTATCTCTACTTTAATTCCAAATTAAAGAACTAAAGATACAAAAAATTTGCGTTAAAGTAAAATGCTTTTTAAATTAATTATGCATGTTATGAGTTTTTTTTACAATGTAAGCTTGTGAATAATTCTTACTATTTGCGGTTTACGAAGCATTATGCACTTTGTATTCCTTGTATTAATTTTATAATTGAAATTCCACGAAACAAGAACATCACTTTATTTTACAAGCAATTACGGTAGATACGTTTTGAACCAAATATCTTATATCAGGCTTTCGACAACAAATACCCATTTATCACCTTAACCATTCCAGTGAAGTCATTAGGTTTGGAGCTCGTTCGTGTGAACTCAGTGAATTGTAAAGATAGGCGTTTCAGTTTACGCTAAATTCTGGAATAAAGTTCTGTAATAAATCAGTAAGCCTCGCCCACACATTCATAACAAATGTCGTTAGGCGGCGTAGGCTGTCGTAGAGGTGCTACGCGAGCGCTACGCAGCTACAAGATAACCTTATCGGAATAATGGCGTAGTCTAATTGAACTTGGAAACATCTATAATCACAGAAAACTTAGAGTTTTACAAATTTAAATATACCAAATCTTACCTAAATACGTGGTACTTATAAGTCCTTCCTATAATAAACAATATCCTTATCCAAAGTTAGTAAGAAGCAATTTGATTAACTGCTTATACTATTTAATAGGAAACGAATTAATTTTAAGTGAATTATTAACCATTTTACTTACAAAGAGGAACATAATCTAATGACAAAGAAGCGCTAAGGAATTAATAATGGAAAATCATATTAGCGTTCTCAAAATATTATAATAGGTATTTTATGTAAACATGTAAACAACTCTTTATATTTCAAATAAAACCTATATTGGATTTTATGGTATAAAAATGTTTGCCACGGGAAAAGCTTCTGTATTCCTAAGTATAACAGCAAACATAAGCGAAAGTTGTCAAGTGTAAATAAGCCCCCATTTTCAACAAATCCTAAGCAACCGTAAACACAATTAGCTATTCTTGGAGAACTGGGCTTGTTTATCTTTGTAACTCAGTTACCGGATTACACCGAGATTTCTTAAGGTTCAAAGGAAAAGTAATTTTCTTTAGTGTTACATTGTTGAGATAGCGAGTGGAAATAAGATTTATTTTTGTTACTATTAAACGTAATTATAATTTATTTATATGAGTTTTTAATTTATTTTTAAAATTCTAAAAATTAATTTTGACATAATTCTTTCGGTATTATTTATATCTTTGTGCATTACTAATTTTTTTGTATTTATTAGACAGTTTGAATAAGAAAAAAGCCAGTTAATAGTTACCATATCTGGCCTCCTCCCCCTCGGGTGCCTGCGCCGTGAGGGTGGCCAGTTCCTTCTCCAAGTCGACCTGGTGTTCGCCAGAGTCCCATGACAGCAGACCTAAGATAATAAGAAAACGTTAAAATACAATACCTTAACTATACAATACCTTATATATATATATAACTATATACTGAATTAAAACGTCTATTACTTACAAAAAAATAGAATAGAAAAACTTAAAAATAAGGAAAGATAAATAAATAAATGGGTGTCAAATATATGGATGTTGACTGGTGCAAATTTTACTAAGTCATTGTTATTAAGAATATGACGCCAGAATTTGTCATACCTTAAAAACATCTGTTAAAATAATCTGATCTATCAAAAATAATGTTTTGAAAGTCTTAATCTTATTTTAGTGTATTAGTGAAAAACCATGGAGGCTTTTCTTTATCTTTTTGGACCATGGGGCGAACAAATTCTGTGTCCATTCTATTGAAAGGTATGTAAGTAAGCAAACTCGGATGCTTTGCTCGAACAAAACAATGTATTTTTTTCTCGGGATTCGACGAAAGGACTTCTTGTGCTTAATAATAGACAAAAAATTTGACCATCGAGCAACGGAAGCGGTACTTTGTTTAATTTCTTTAATACTTATTTTAATACTTATTATATGCCAAAGAGTAAACGTAGTAACTACACATTTCATCTAGAGAGTTACTGTCATCGTCAACTTTCAATTGTATGAAAATTAAACAAAAAGTTTCTGTATGCCAAGTTTAATGAAGAGGTGTGGCATTGTTAGGCTAGCAACCATTGTCTGAACTGGGTTAAATGATAACCGATGGGTTATTTTATTATTCTGAGAAACAATCAAACTTCAAACAATAAACTATACAATATATGTAGTTAAATAAAACACTTTAACGGTTTAAAACGCGATATATTGGTTAAACTTATTTGGAAATGATTTTTTACTTCGGCCCGACGTTTCGGATGCTTTGCAGCAGCCGTGGTCACGGCTCACGGCTGCCTCAAAGCATCCGAAAGTTGAACTAAAATATCGCGTTTTAAACCGTTAAAGTGTTTTATTTAACTCTGTACTACTCGCGTAAACTAAAGACAGTATTTATTATATGTAGTCGTTTTTTTATTTTGTCATGTGTTGGTTTGTTGTTTTAATCACTACCGCTCCCGAATATATTTTCAGTTTTACTGTTACATAAAACAAAGCACACGCAAACAATACGAGTGGTTAATATTGTACACCAAACTGTTGATATTTTCACGGGGTATTGGAGTGAAATAGCAAATATTCTTCTTAACGTAATTGCTACTACATTACAACAATGGAAATAATTATTAAAACTTAGTTCTCCAATTTTTTCTTATATCGTTTATACTGTATTACTGTCGAATTTGATTATATCTGTAATGGCAGCACATATTTGTGTTTGTAAATAAATAAATTATTATTTTTTTGGATTGTCAACATTTAAATAAGCATATTTTACACTTGTTAGGACATTTTATTTTTTTCATAAAAGTTTAATGCACATTTTGAAAATTAATTTTACAAACTTTCAGAGGCCGGTTTAGTCGCGTATAGGAAAACCTATTTAAAAAAATACATATATGTTTTTTGTGGTGTCCTTTTTTATTATTAATTTTGTTATTTACGTATTTCGTAAAGAAATTAACTTTTCTACATCAAATGTCAAGCGTGGGACATCTCTGAAAAGCTAAAGCTCCATCCACATACGTCTATTCGATTATTTATTTAATTGTTTATGTCTGTTAAATAAATAATTTAATGCAATTTGAAAATAATAAGCTCTTTTTATTACAATTACGTGACTTCAGAAAAACTAAAATGAACTTCATCAACTGTTCTTCGCTTAGATGCAACAGAGAAGCAATTAGTCTAACATTGTTTTTGTTAATTAAATAGAAAGAAAACAAGCCTTGCGAAACAAAAGCCCAAGCACAAGGCCTCCTCGGATGACCTTTGTCTTTTTTCTATATTATTCAGTGGCTTTGAGATTCATCACGGAGGCTTTGTTTGGTTTAGCCCATTCAAGTTATACTTTCTATTTGTAAATGGGGCACATTATACATATATACATGATGGAGGGTAGTCATATGGCCCGACAGAATACTCACAATTAACATCTTTTACGAGCGATTACTATAGTATTGCCAATCAATTCCCGATTAGAACTCAAATACCAGCCGGGCACGAAACGCTGCCTCACTACCAGAAATCCTTGCGTCATTTCAAAATAACAAATTGTCAATAACCGTCCGTCATCTCTTTAATGACAGTTTACCAAACGTCAATGCCACTATTTCGACCATACTCAAAGTACAAGTATTACTTGACGTGTCCGCCTACGGGTGTTAATTTATCTTATCGATTTGGTTACGTAAAAGATAGTAACATTGCAACATAAGTACATAAGAATGTAAAATAAATAAGTATTATATTTTACTATTTTTTCTGAACTACTTTTCAGTGCAGGTATTTTATCGTGACTTATATATTTCATGGATACAGGGCAATATTTGTAACGACCCCTTATGCCAAAATTTTCAAACATTATATAATCGGGTTTGAGCTCATTAAAACAAAGTTATGAGACACGTGTTTAATTAATTTCTCCATTACGCAATTAGTCCAGGCCGTAACAGGTCTCTAGGTCACCCTAGAATTAGGTTCTAACTTAATTAACTGCCTTACCTAACTTTGTAATTACTAGTCCTATATAACAGTTGGCTGTTATGTAGACTTTGCTCTAAGGCATGTCTTAAAATTAATATTTTCGAAAACTTAATTCATTTATTTAATAACATTACACAGTATCTGGTATTTTTTCCCTGTTAAATATCGGTCCCTAGATGCTATATGTCCTGATTATATCTGTCCTCATGTAAATAATAGCTGTCCATGTCGTTCTTACAAGTTTGAATGTAGACATATATTGTCGCGGACATTTTTTAGATCATTTAAAGAGGATCATTTTTTCATACATAATTTTTAAGTATCAAGAATTGGAAATAATTTTTCATTTCGAACCAGTTTTTAAGATTAGCGCAATCACACAAATAAACTCTTCAGCTTTATAATATTAGTATAGCTTTTATCATGTGCTTGATATAAGGAAATAGAATAATAATTAGTAAAAAATGTATATGTAAAGATACATATATGTACTATGTAAAGATATATTTACTACGTATAACTGTTATTTCCATAACACTTTCATAGAAACAAACGATATTTCCCAATAGTCTGTATTTGCATAATAACGTAATACGTTTTATCGTTTCGAATCGCGTGAGCTTAGAAAAACACCCGAAACACGAAAGTAGGAGTGAGCGTGTTGATAATCCAACTCCGAATGCAAATACGTTGTATTTACACACTACTTTTAATACAGTTAGTCAATTATTCAATAACCCGACCAGATTCGCCAAATGCCAACTTCGACGGAACAGGTGGCGCTAGCGTAGCAGATTTTTTACTTTGACGTCACAGACTCCATCTTAAGTCTCTCCGAAAGTACGGCTGCTGCAAAGCATTCGAAACATCGGGCAGTAGATAAAAAATCTTTTAAATAAGTTTAACTAATATATATCGCATTTTAAACCGTTAATGTGTTTTATTTAAATCTAGTTTTATTATATAACAAATTGAATGGTTTGAATTCAATTTCTACTATCTATTTAACCAGTAAGTAGCTTACTATGAAGCAAGAATTTTATGAACAGAATGTCGTAGTAACCTGGTGAGTTCCTGATAAAGCTTTCCTATTGATATATGTAAGATGTGGAAAAAGATGTGTATTATTAATAAATATATTTGTTAGAACATTATAATTTTGTTATTTAATATGGTTTCACATAGAGCCTACTTGAAAGTGTGATTTAAAAAGAAACTAATAGTAAAATCATAATAATTTATAAAATAAATAAATTTAAACACGTCAAGCAAATTACAACATCCCTTCTTAGTTACAAAAAGATGTAATTTTGGATTAGATAATTCATAAAAACTGTTGTTTTTACTTAACTTTACCTAACACAACAATAAAAGTGATTGCTAAATCCCAACATTTGAGCTGCTTATTCAACAGTGGATAACTAATTGGTTAATTAACAGTTTTGCGTGCTTAAGTGATTCACACCATTAGTTGATTTTTACATAATTATAGCTTTTACTATTGAACGTCACTACTAAAATTATCGTTGCGTAATTTTTTTTAAAACTAGCAAATCAACTGTTTTAGTTTTCAATCCACAAATACCTCAATGTTAGTTCTTTCTAATAGGAGAAATGGTTAAACAGCCGAGACCTACCTAATGTCGCTCCAGTATGGCGTGAGGTTTAAAAACTACCGTCATTACTGATGACGGTAGCCTCGACAAAAACCCTCACGCTCTGGAGTATTGAATTAGATACTAGAAATTTTCTCTGAAAGTTCTATATCCTACTTATATTTCGTCAGACTAAAATTCGAACTCTGGACCTCGTGGTATGCATGCGAGTGAATGCGAGCGACCATGAAACCAAGAAGTCACATATTTAAGTAGGCACTCCGTATTAATTATAAGTGTAAAATTAAAAGGTGCTTTTTTTACAAGATTTATTATTCCCAAAGAATATAATGTAAAAAATTAAGTCTTAAAGATTAAGCTAACATGTTAACCTACTTATAACACTTTCTAAACTTATTTCTTCGTTTTTTAATAGGTACTTACACTTACTTACATATTAAATACAAAAGACAATTGTTTTCCTAAATAATATAACTTTTTTATTATCATGCCCAGGAAAGTAAGAAATTTGTTTAGAATAAATATAGTATCTCGCACTACTAAGACAGTCAACATAATAGACGCTGATCAAATAGAAAGAATTTCACCGACAATTTCTCCTTGAAAGATAATGTGTAAAAAGCCTACCCTTAATATGTTTTTCATATCGGAGCCAACGCCACCATCTATCATATTTTTTGTCTAATCGACCTACATCCACAAAGGAATATAAAGTATGATCTAACGCCAGACGATAACGCCCCCAAAACCTAGGGTTTAGCCCCGCCCTTACTTTGCCAAATAAAGGTCATCTCCAGGGTCAACGAACTCTGATCAGGCAACCCAGTTAAAGGAGTCGTTTGGCAGATTTGGGTTGGCCTTTATACACTGCGATGCGAAAATATTAGCTTAGGAATATACAAGTACTTTGTATTTCTGCTAATATTAAAGTTATTTTAGTAGAAGTACTTGTCAGATTACGGCATAATACCAAAAACGTATTTATTACGTACTAGATATGCGTGTTCGTTGCGTGAATTAGTTATTTTGTATATCTCAATTTTGTTTTGTCAAACCTCTTCATCTTCATAAAATAATTATACGTGTAGCTGTTACCCATAAGGTCGCTTCTCGCCGTTAAAGTTAAAGACATACACTATCCAATATATTATTTGATTATTTAAAGATGCAATGGAAACCACAATCTCAACAATTTCCTCCGCTTTTTTATAAAGACGAAAATCATACTTAAAGTAAACTACAGGAAATCTGAAAGTTTGAAGGCTCGAAAAAAAAAGCCATGAAGAAGTGGTACAACGTTGTTGACTTGACTTGACATTACAAACGCCCATCTTAATTACAGTCTTTAGTGAAACAAAATAATTTATTTAATATATGCTCTATAAGCAGTTAAATGGTTAAACTTAATGTGTACCACGTAAATAAAGTTGTTTGTATAATAAATACTATACGATATTACTATGCAATTGTTTAAATATATCGATATTATTTAGAAGAAAGATAAAACCCCTTAGTATAACTTAAAATATTTTATGTATTATCTGAAGTTACGTGAGTTTTAAAGTACTTATTATCTTCTAAAACTCAAAGTAACACCTAAGGTTAAGAGCTAAGTTTGAGTCAAGGGGTTGTGAAGACTTCATTTGAATATAGAACGAAAACTTTAAGACAAAATGGCGTCTTTGGAATACATTATATAATTGCGCTTTAAAGCATTATAACATAATAACTTAGAAAACGCTTCAATTAGGTCGATCTGGAAAGGACTACAATATAAAACGCTTTTCTACAAAAACAAATTTTCGGTCCACGATGTTTGTAATAAACAAAATACGACCGACATAGACGAGTGTATGAATAAACGAACGAGTCCAATTTATTTGAGAATATTACAACCATAAATTGTTTTTGTTTCAGCGCCCTATATACATAACTTAATATTTATGGCTTATTTTCACGAGTACGGAGAGTGTAGTTTACGATATCAACTGGATTTGGTGAAAAAATAAATTTGTTAGTGCACACATAAACTATAACAATTATAATAATATTATGTGTTACATGATAACATATTTCAAATGCTTTGATATTGTTTCTATGTAGGAGGGTGTTCTTTCCAGTCATTATGGTAAAAATAATCACCATCATGTTTTATCTAATACATTTCAAAGAGTATATTAACTCTAAGGCACTCTGGCTTAGTGTTTTCTTTAATGATACTAAGATCGAAACCTGAATAATTTTAAATTACCAGATTATATATATAGAACCTAAATACTGTCTGTAGTTTATGCGAGTACTACACATTCCACAAAACACTTTAACGGTTTGAAACGTGATATAATAGAAAATGATTTGAACTACGGCCCGACGTTTCGGATGCTTTGTAGCAGCCGTGGTCACTGGGAGACTCAAACGTCGAGCCATAGTTAGAATAATTTTAACTAAGTTTAACTAATATATATCGCGTTATAAACCGTTAACGTGTTTATTTAAATGTTCAATACTCGTAAGATTCGTACTATCCGTAAATAGCTCGACCCAATTTCTTAATATAACTTCTATCGACAGCTATAGAACCAGACAAGCGTAGACCCCATATCATTACTTCTACCCCATTGTCATGCGATAACTAAAAATAGCCCTCGGTCAATAGCGGCCGTGTTTTGGGCGTGGTCAATATCGATCGTACTGACACAGCTGATTTTGACGGTCAATAATATGTTAATTCAACATCGATTTTAGATATTACGGGTCGACAGGGTTGTTTAGCTGCTACAGGACTTGAACCGGCATCCGTTGTAAAAATTCGACGTTGACGTGTAGAAGGTAGCTTAAGTGGTTAGAGCAATAGCACGGAACGCGGTGGATGCCATTTCAATTCCTGCCCGTGTCGTATTCTTTTCAATCTGAAATCGATTTTTAAAATAATTTTATAGTAATTGAGAAATAGACCCAAATTAATTCATTTTAATCGTTCAGAGACCTGCCACAAATGTACAAATGAAAATTTTATATTGTGTTGATTCAATTGATTATTCCTACTGACAAATGGTCGTTGTGACAGATGCCCTGTCAACTCCTAAGATGGACGATACTAAGGCTGTACAGGTTCTTACAGTATTCATCGTTTGATAAAAGTTAATTCATGTAAGCTGCGAGAAAATCTATTAAGCAGAATATTAATTACACTTTTTTAACTTAAGTTGTCTTTACTAAAGCTGAAGAGTTTGTTTGTTTATACGTTTGAACGCGCTAGTCGCAGGAACTACTGGTTCGAATTGAAAAAATATTTTTGTGTTGGTTAGTACATTTATCGAGGAGGGTTAAAGACTATAAAACAATGACTAATAGGAGACACAGGAACAATGACGAATATAATATATATATTCGTCGTGGATTTCTTTAATCATTCTTTTAAGCGACATATATGTAACAGGCGGAACTCGAACCCGCTGGTTTCGAACCTACATTTAGAGCTTTTTAAGTTTAACATATTTCTTTAACCTATTTAAGTTAGAAAATAAACCCTATTAAACAAAGTAAGTTAATGAAACGAATAACTTTTAAAATTTTAACCACAAAAACCGTCATAATAAATTTACAACATTTTATGAACCCATTATTCTTCCTTATTGAAAAGCTCTTGAAACTTTGCTTTTAAAAGAATTTCTTGAAAGGACTATTATGTTTGTAACAGAATTATGAAGTATTTCATTGTAAGATGAAATTTTATTATGGAAGAGACTTTTAAGTCTGTTTAATGAACAGGTATTATGAAGTTTTGTTAGCATCTAGAAAAAGTGAGCAAAAAAAAGTGTCATTCTTTTTCTTTTGCGAGCACATTGCTGAGATATACATATTAGTCTTCAAATTTCTAATACGTAAACATGTTTGTTTAAGTCATATTTTGCTATAGACCTTGTTTCAAATGCAAACCAACTACTGAATATGTTACCTAACACGGGAATTATATTCTCATTCTTCAAATTCACTCAGCTATTTTGTTTGTGTGTTTTTGTTTTTATTTTATCTTAGAGAAGTTCAGGCAACATTCGTTTCACTTGGTGCAAAATGAAAACCTCAGCCGGATTCGGAAGACCGTACCGTCCGTCCGTCCGACTGGAACTGAAACACGATTAAACTTCACTTTTTTATCTGTAGACTGGGTTCGGGACCCGGACACTATTTTTATATGATTACCACCAATTTATTGTGAGGATTTCCGGACTAAGATTCAGAATAACTGTAAAGGCACATGTTTATTTGTACTGTACATATTTCAAAAAGATTGTAAATATATTCGAAATATGGACTCGTTGAGGATCGAACTCCTGACCCGTTGGTTATAAGCCATTCATTACTACCATTGACAAACAAGCCCGTCAACTGAACAAACTTATAATAAAATAATAAATTTTCAAGCCAACTAAAAATTATTCTTATTAAAATAAAAGTTAGAGAAAATAACTCTACGAAGATAAAATCGCTGTTCGTTATATAACCAAGGAGCTTCTTAGTAAGGAGCTCGTTAGTATATTTCTTGTCATTGTTCCGTGAAAAACTCCCACTTGGAATGCATCACGCAACATCTGCAGATAAAAACGTCTCATTTTCTTCAAGAATAAAATGGTATTAAATTGCAGACGCTTAAAATACTTTTAAACAATTTAAATTACGTTATGAAACAAGAATTCCATGTTTTTACTGCATGCTAATTTGGATATCAACGGTTAATAAACATAGACAAATGGACGTCAGGCCGGAAGTATCTGAAACGTCGGGTCGTATTTAAAAATAAATACAACACAATAAATCGTGTCAGGCTTTCACTGCCATAGTTCAGCATATCATTGTCTTTTGGGCTGTTCGGCCGACGTGAGCGAGAAGAGGTTTTCGACGTTTCGCCATCACTTGCGGACGACATTGCCATAAGAGAGAAAACGCGTAAGTCTCTCCGCGACCACGGCTGCTGCAAAGCATCCGAATCGTTGAGTCACGTTAATAGTATATATTTCGAATTAATTATTATTAAAAGTGTTTAATTTTTCACAAAAAAGGATGAAAGATTTTTGTCGTTACTCTAGGCACTTGCCCTACACTACTTTTACTAATTATGTTCTATTCCTATGTTATAGGTAGTGTAGATCAATTAAGATTAAATTCGAAATGCAACTATCTATTCGATAACATATAATATTAACATGTCATTAAATCTATTATGTCTTTCACTAACTAATAATGTTTTTTTTTTCAAGAGTAAGAAGTGAACTGAAAAGTACGTTCGTAAATTCAATACAGTTTCAATAGAGAGTTCCCATTTCAAGTTATTTACCCATAAATACACCTATTCTACCCAATACTCGGGGAGAGCTTGGGAACTCTTGCAAATGAGTTTTGGATAGTACTTGAGTTACGTCTGAACTTTAGAGGTTGTACTTTGCTCTTGTAACTTTTTTATTGAGAACGATCGTTATAAGCTCGTTAGAGGAAACGAAAACTGGAAAAAAAATCGAGGGCATATGATGAATTCTTACGCATGTTTTACGCAGATGACATGTTAGTAAAATGGTTGTATAATCTTTTGAAGAAATGGCATTGATCAACGTAAAATTTATATTCAACTCTATACTAATATTATAGAGCTAAAGTGTTTTTTTGAAAGCGCTAAACTTAGGAACCACTGGTTCAAATTAAAAGAATCATTAGTGTTGGTTAGAGCATTTATCGAGAAAGGCTTTAGGTTATAAAACATCAGTCTGCGACTAATAAGAACGAAGAAAGAGAGAAG